GGTCTAAGGTCGAAGGTGTTGTGCAGTCGATTTCCAATTGAGAGGTTGCGAGTTCAATTATTATTATTATTATTATCAAATTTTTGATAGGGCAATCCCCACAGGCCTAAGGCCTTCTTACAGGGTACCCTAGAAATGAAAGTACTGAATTACGGAATATGTGCAGTGAAGAGCATAAGCGGACTGCAGCGGGGAGTGCAATTCCGAACGATTATGGTCGCACACGTCTTTCTTCTCTTTCTCATTCTCCTATAGTATGTGGTGTGGCGTGTGTGTGTATAAAAAGAATGGAAAAAATGAAAAATGAAAAGTAGGGATTCACTGGCCAGGAAAAAGCCACTTCAATCAGCTGTGTGGTGGATACCAGGCCAAACATTATTGGTGGTCAATTCATCAGCCTTGCAAGCTGTTGTTTCACTCAGCTATACACCACTACTCAGAAACGGTTTCTTGGCTACAAATTCAGGTGTTGCAAGCTGTTGAATGGTGAAATCCCAGCACAAGTTGCTATGTCTAACATAGCTATTCGCTATCATCGCTTCTGCGATGGGCATGTCTGAGTCTGAGTCTGATTGTGTGTGTGTGTGTATGTGTGTTTGTGTGTGTGTGCTTGTGTTGGATTGTTTGTTTGTGTGTGTACACGTGTGTATGTGTATAGATATGTGTGGATAGTGTGTATAGATGTGTGTGTGTGTGTGTGTGTGTGTGTGTGTGTGTGTGTGTGTGTGTGTGTGTATGTATGTGTGTGCACGTGTGTGTATGCATGTGTGTGTATACATATGTGTGGGTGAGTATGTTGGTGTTTGTGTGCCTATATGTACTTCCTCCGTTAACTTTTTGTCATTTTCCCCAAAATGTAAGTGAGGGGTATCTACTTCAACACATCCACTCACAGCAGCTGACATTTTGTACTTCCTCCATGTCATTACAAGGATGGAGGGAGGGAGGGAGGGAGAGAGGGAGGGATGGGGAGAGAGAGGGAGAGAGAAAGAGACAGACAGACAGACAGACAGAACAGAGACAGAGACGGAGAGAGGGATGGGGGTGCAAAGCCTGACGTTAACATCTATACACATGTCTTGGCTTACAGAACTTTAAGGTAGTATTGTGCATTGAAGATTCTTGCCGGCAGACTTTGGAATTTGTTGTTCTGTAGATAGCTATAGAAAGTACACACAAACCAAGAAGAATGGATTTATTCAAGTACATTCAAGTTCGCTTATAACGACACTCGGCGGGGAATCAGAAAAGTGTCCCTATTCGCGAAGTGTCCTTATACCCGAAGTCTCATTATCTGTGTTACAGTTGGATGGGACTTTGCCCTGGGCATGAAAATTCTTTCGTTACTCGCGAATTGTCGTTATATCTGCAGTCGTTATTAGCGAAGTTGACTGTAGTCTATTTCCCAGAATCAAGGAATGAGAGAAATAGCAGCAGTGGCTTCTTATAAAATAAAAAAGTAAACCAGAGCACAGCCCGCTTGGCACGGAGCATTTCATACGCAGAGTGTGAGAAACCCATAGGAATTACATAGTTGCTTTTCACTCACGGAACAACTGTTCAGTACACCGGGTAGTGGTCTACCAGAGCAATCACTCTCGGACTTCCATGCCATATATTGCAGCATGTAACTCGGACTGGCAAAGACTAAGTGTCAGCATAGTTCACTTGAACTAAAGTAAAACCTGGCTTAAGCGACCACCCCACGGTGCAAGCAAAAGAGGTCGTTAAAGCCAGGTGGTCTTTAGAATCAGGTCCCACAGTGTCTGTGTAGAACTGTCCGTGCATGGAGGAACGGTCGGTAAGAGCAGGTGGTCGCTAAACCCAGAGGTCGCTTACACCAGGTTTTACTGTAGGCTATTCATCAGCCATCCACTGTTTGCTATTTCCACCGCACAGCCTCCTATTATAAGGGAACTCCCTTCAATTTATATTATGTCTTTTGGAGGTCTCAAACAAATGAAAAAGAATTTGGTGGTCAGACCTTTATTCACATGGAAGGCCACACACATTCGATACCCACATGTGTTCAACCTCTTCAATCTTAAAAGTTCTTGTTACGTGCATTTGAGACAAGGGTGCAGCCAGGGAGGAGGAGGAGGAGGAGGAGGAGGAGGAGGAGGAGGAGGAGGAGGAGGAGGAGGAGGAGGAGGAGGAGGAGGAGGAGGAGAGAAAAGAGAGAGAAAAAGAGAGAGAAAAAGAGAGAGAAAAAGAGAGAGAGAAAGATAGAGAGAGAGAAAAAGAGAAGCAACTACGCCTTACAGTTCCTCCAGGAAAGAGTGGTTTCTGAACAGGTGTTCCGGGAGAGTTGTAAGGTTGTTGCCACTCAGATCACTGAACAGGGAAAATGAGAAGCAAAAAGGACGCATGCCACAGTTGGTACGCGCCACTACACAAAGCAGCTAAACACATGTGTGGATTTCCAGATCACTTAATCTCTGGACAGCTAGCTGTTTCAACCCTCATTACGTCTCTTTAGAGGAAGGGGGACAGGGTGTGTGTGTGTGTGTGTGTGTGTGTGTGTGTGTGTGTGTGTGTGTGTGTGTGTGTGTGTCTGTGTGTGTGTGTGTGTGTGTGCACGCGTGCATGAGTGCGTGCATGTGTGCGTGCATGTGTGCGTGCATGTGTGCGTGTGCGTGTGTGTGTGTGTGTGTGCGTGTGTGTGTGTGTGTGTGTGTGTGTGTGTGTGTGTGTGTGTGCATGTGAGTATGTGTGCATGCATGCATACGTGGACATGTGTATGAGGTTGCGTGCGTGCATGTGTTGTGGTGGTGTGTGCATGCGTGTGCGTTGCTGATCCGCATTCCGCCATACGGAGTTTTGAACTACATGGCTGCTCATGGCAACTTGGGACACGAACGTGTACGACCTAGAAAGAGCCATACACTTATATTACAATCCTCTTAAGGAGGACTTAACCCCTTCAGTAGTAGGGTTTTAATTTTGACCCGACGAGACCATACGACGCTTGCAGATCACAGCACGAACAGTTCACCAGCCACACTCCACGAAAGCAAGTAGTAGTACTCCTGACAAGTCTTGTTTCGTTCCATAGAGATAATAACGGGGAACTCATCAGAGGAGAAGCAGTTGTTGAATGAAGGGGTTTAGCTGAATAATGCTATTTTATAGAAAAGATATTGGCGCACTGAGGTGTAAACACTCAACTAACTCACATATGTGACATATCAACACAAAAGGAATAGTGCAGAATGGAGGTGTTCTGAACCCTACCAGACACAACTATCACAAGTGCTAAATCATTCACAATGAGAAGGAGAGGTACACAGGAATAGGTTGCGCTAGTTTAACGAAACAAGACTTGTCAGGAGTACTACTACTTGCTTTCGTGGAGTGTGGCTGGTGAACTGTTCGTGCTGTGATCTGCAAGCGTCGTATGGTCTCGTCGGGTCAAAATTAAAAACCTACTACTACTGTATTTGACGGACCTATTGAAGATGGCACAAAGAATTACTTAACCCTTTATCGTTTTAGTTATTTGTACAGCAAAAACCGAATGTCATTGTTCATGCCGTAACTTTTTTTTATTTTTCACTTTTATTATGTACAACATAGGGTGATTCTGAAAGCAAAAACCCCCAGGAATGTGATTCAACAACTTTGAAGTCCAGAAAACGAACAAAGATGTCACTTTATATTTAGCACTTGAAATCTGGGTTTATTGCCGATCGGGAAAACTGTTGCAATATGCCAAGGAGCAATAGAAAGAAATCAGATTCTTGCACTCGAGCCGGTGGCTCCCTCAGGTAGGTGGATACCTGGTTCGTTCTCTGGGTGGAATGCAGGAGTGTTACCAGCCACAGCAGTGTCAGCATTGCCCCAAGTGTTGCAAATATCGACTAGTGCAGGTTGCACTGCTGGCTGTACCTGTGCACCACGACCTCTACTGCGACCGCGTCCTCTCCCTCTGGCACGTCCTCTGCCACGTCCCCGTCCACCAGTAGTAGCACTTATCTCAGCGGCACTGTTGTCCCTGCCCTTTTGGCACGTGGGTGCCCCTTTTGGCACGTTGGTGCGGACCGCGCGCGGACTGCGCCGGTTTCATGCTTATCGTACATGTTCTTGTTGTTGTGCGCATGCTTGCATGCTTATCGTGCGCATCCTGGTTGTTTTGGGTGCCTTCTTCCTGAGACTCTCCTTGGAACAACAATGATAATCTGTCCTCTGAGTGTGGCGTACGTGTGATGAATGAATAAGAGAGTAATCGGAAGGGCTATCGTGCAAGGGATTAAAACCCCCCGACGACAATTGGCGCCCAACGTGGGGCTCGAACCCACGACCCTGAGATTAAGAGTCTCATGCTCTACCGACTGAGAGGGTTTCCGGCTCTCCGCCCGAGCCATGAGCTCGGCCGGCATAAGCGAGAACGAAATGCTGAAGCTGCGACTAGAGACTGAGAAGAGGATGGCTGAGCAAGAAAGGGAGAAGGCTAAGCTACAAAATGAGATGGCTGAGCAAGAAAGGGATAAGGCTAAGCTACAGGCTGAGTTAGAGAAGAACGAGCTGCGAATGGAGTTAGAGAAGAACGAGCTGCGAATGGAGTTAGCTACGACGAAGTTGGATGCCGTCGGCGTCACTCAAAGAGCCCACCTTGAAAAGTTTTTTTGGGAGACCAAGCGTCGGGTGCTTCAGGCCTCGGACCAGGAAGTCAGCCCCGCTATCAAGGAGCGGCTGCAGCGAACCGACAAAATGACGGCGCTGAACTCAGCTGTGGTGGACGGATGGCATGCCGGGGTGAAGGAGCTCGTCTTCGCCAACTGCACGTGCCAGCCTGACATCCCTAATGTCAAGGCACACAGGGGATACCTGTATGGTCATCTGTCGGACGCGACACATTACCCAATACGGCCGGTGCTGTACGTTGACCAGGGAGACAGCAATGTGGAATTTTGGTCGTACGTGGCTGAGCTCTGCCAGTCGCGTGTGGAGCTCGTGGACCCTGTGCAGGGAAAAGCCGGGATGTTTCGAGACTTATGCTGGCAAGTGCAGAAAAAATGGTAAGACAGTCTCGCTCAATCTCTCTCCAGATCTCTCCAGAGCTCTTTGTTGTTCTCAGCTGTGCCTTTCCTCTCTGCAGAGACAGGTGTCGTTCACACTTGGCTGAATGACCATTATTCCAGACAGATTGATTTATATCTCGTGCATTCTTCCTATCTACGGTTCTGCTTTGTGTTATTATCGCTGTTTCTTTCTTTGCCTCAGGCTCTCCTGTTTTAAGTTTTTAATAAAATAAATAAAAATTATCGTTCCCGTAAAAATATATATAATATACACTCAGACACAAAGGATCTCCCCGCTCTGTCTTAGGACATTGAGCACTTTTTGCCGACGCAAGAAATACTTCTATTGTTCTATATATATATATATATATACTCAATCTGCGGACAGCATGCTGTTTCGTTCTTTGTGAACTCGTCAGCGCAGCACAGAGGAAATGAGGCCGAACCTGATAGCAATGGAAATAAAAATTTCCAATCAGGCCCGAACGTACCTTGCCAGAGTGCTCAAACTGACAAGTCAGTGAGCCCTGCATAACGCAAACAGCAAAGGCACTACCCCACGCAAGAGTGCTCAACTGCTACAAGAGCAGGAGCGAAATACTCAATCTGTATATATATATATATACACTCAGACACAAAGGATCTCCAAGTTTCTCAGTGTTGCTACTCTGAGTTTCGTGCAAAAGCACTCTTCAGGCAAGTTGCCTGAAGAGTGCTTTTGCACGAAACTCAGAGTAGCAACACTGAGAAACTTGGAGATCCTTTGTGTCTGAGTGTATAACCCCGCTCTGTCTTAGGACATTGAGCACTTTTTGCCGACGCAAGAAATACTTCTATTGTTCTATATATATACTCAATCTGCGGACAGCATATATATATATATATGAAGTTTGGTGTCCCTAGCCAGTTGCACTCGGATCAGGGCCCAAATTTTGAGAGCCGTCTTATGTCATGCCTGTGTCAGTTGTTGGGGGTGTGTAAATCCCGCACGACCCCGTACCGGCCTCAGTCCGATGGCTTGGTAGAGCGGGCCAATCGCACTATTCAGGTGGCTCTCCAGGCGTACGTTGAGGGTGATCAGGCCTCGTGGGACAAACATCTTTCCCTGGTACAATTTGCCTACAATACGGGGTCCACCGCTCTACCGGGTTTACTCCCCATTTTGTCCTGTTTGGGAGGGAGGCCCGTCTACCCTTGGACTTGTTCTTACCTACACCTAATACCCCATGGAAGCCCCTGTGCCTGTGTACGTGTCCAATCTTCGGTCGTCTTTGGGTCGGGCTTTTGGCGTTGTACGTGACCGCCTCGGTGTAGCCCACAGAGTGGCTAAGGCAGCGTACGATCGCCGGACTAAACTGCCCACGGTACAACCTGGGGACTATGTTTGGCTCCATGCTGTTCCGCCCCCTGGGTCCAACCCTAAGCTGTTCCGCCCCGTGGACTGGCCCTTGGCAGGTGGAAGTGGTGAAGGGAGTTGTGTGTGCGATTGTCCGGGTGGGTCCTCCTCCTTCACCCCGACATGCTAAGCACCTGACTGTGCATGCGGATAGGTTGCGGGTGGTGCAGGGTAAGGTGGTTGTTCCCCCAGGGGTTCCAGCTACCGGGCCCGCCACGCCTGAAAGACCGGCGGTTCCCTCCATGGGTGGGCCCGCTCTGTTTCTGCCGGCGCCATTTGCGAGGTCAGTCCCAGGGTTGGTTCAGCCCCCGGGTTACCTCCCCACACCTCCCCCATCTCCGGTGGTTGTGCCCCCTGCTGGTGACCGGGGTTCCCCTCCCTTGGTGGGTAGTCCCCCGGATACCCCGGCCCTGAATCCTCCTGATTCTTCATTGCCGGGTAGTCCGTTGTTGACCCCGACGCAGAGTCCTCCGGTTTCTCCCACCCATCCGCCCGGGACACCACGTCCTCGGCGGAGGTGTGCCCTGCCCCCGGGGGGCTATGCGGCCCTTGACGAGGGTCAGTTAGACCTCTCGTGGAGGAGTTGGTGATGTAGCTATTGTTTACCATGGATACTCCCAGTTGGTTGTTTTTTTTTGTTTTTTTCTCCTCTTTTTCTTTTTTCTTCTTCTTTCCTGCTTAGTGTTGCCCTCGCCGACCCGGCCATGGTGTTGGAACTCATCGAGGAGTGGAAGTCGTTTTTCGAGTCGCTTCCCGCAGACATGCGTCCGGCTTCCCTTCTGTCCGCTTCCTCGCCGGTGGTGGCTGCAGCGCCAGCGCCGCGTCCGGTTTCCCTTCTGTCCGCTTCCTCGCCGGTGGTGGCTGCAGCGCCAGCGCCAGTGGTGCCTCGTCGCCGACGGTCCCGCCGCTCTCGCAAGAGGCGCCGGGCCCGCCGAGCGGCGCAGCGTCGCGCCGCCCTCGCTGCTCCGTCGCCGGCTGGTGGTGTGCCGGACAGTGCACCTTCCCCTCCCAATGTGGGGTCGGAACTGGTCTCCCTCGTTGAGGTCCATTGTGTCAATGAATTTGCTTAATTTTTTCCTCCTTATGTATTTTTTGTTCGTCGTTTCCTTTGGGTGAGTGGTGTCCTAGGTTGGTGCTGTTCTGTAAAAGATCCCTACAAGGATAGGGCCTAAACAGGTGGAGCAGCTCGCCAGCCGGGGTCCTCTTTGAAACTGTTGCTTGCAGGTTCCTCCATTGTTGCACAGTTTCGCGGGGCTCCCGGCTGGTGTCAACCCTCCTGGCCTACTCGTCACTTGCCCAACGGTCTCGTCTGTGTTTTTTTTGTTTATATATTCGCCTATCTATGTTGTACATATTTCATTTCTTTCTTCTTCCTGTCTTCTTCTCCTGTCTGTCTTCTCGTTTTGTTTTTCTTCTCTCCCATCCTCAGGAGAGGATGCATTTTTTTTCATGTGGAAGTATGTTGTCCCTGCCCTTTTGGCACGTGGGTGCCCCTTTTGGCACGTTGGTGCAGACCGCGCGCGGACTGCGCCGGTTTCATGCTTATCGTACATGTTCTTGTTGTTGTGCGCATGCTTGCATGCTTATCGTGCGCATCCTGGTTGTTTTGGGTGCCTTCTTCCTGAGACTCTCCTTGGAACAACAATGATAATCTGTCCTCTGAGTGTGGCGTACGTGTGATGAATGAATAAGAGAGTAATCGGAAGGGCTATCGTGCGAGGGATTAAAACCCCCCGACGACAGCACTGTCGTCGTCAGAAGAGAATATTTTCAACAGGATCATCTGGCTCTACAAACTCATCTTCGCTGGATGAGGCGGCGACAGGGTCATCAGAACGGGTCTCCAAAAGTAGTGTTGAAACGAGCGTATCTATAACAAACGAGCGATCAGTTCCACTAACGAGCAAGCTATCGAGCGAGCTAACGAGTTTCATTGAGGTGGCAAATATGATTTTTTGAATAAAAAAATTTCTAAGTCCGATTTTTTTCAGCTGGTTCAAATTATCACCGCCAGCATTTGGGGTTGCTGCTGCTTCACTTCGGACTGCTGTTTGGTGTCGAGATGTCTTTTCAGCGCCGTCGTCGAGTAGCCTTTGTAAGAATAGACCGTTTTGCAAAGATTGCAAGTAGCCCTGGTCTTCGCTGCATCGCGGGAGAAAACTTCCAAACGACTGAGCGAAACTTTCACTCGAATGGAGAGGTGACCGAAGAATATCCTGCGACAGGTCAGCAGATGCGGAACAAGACATCACTAGAGCCCACCAAAGCTGCAACGACAACTGAAACAACTCAAGTGTCGTGCAGGCATACAGTCACTGTAACTGCGAGTGATTTTCACTTTGCGCGGGACTGGACTCTCGATCGACCAGGGAGTCGTAAAATATTTTACGACTCTCCGGTCGACATGTACTGCCATGTGTACGGAGTACGGTGTACGGTGTTCGTTAGTGCAAACGAGCTGGCTGCACAAACGAGCCGAGTTTCTGGCGAGCGAGCTAACGAGTATCCGGTGAGATCGTTTCAACACTATCCAAAAGCAAAAGAGCTTGCTCAGCATCCATCGTGAGCACAGCAGCGCAGACAGTCGCGAGGCCAGCTCAAGCGAAAGTCGAAAACATCTTTCCCCAAAGCGCATTTTCAAGTCGCGATGTCCACGATTTTTTATATTGCATCACACAAAAAAATTGTGGGCAACCTCTGCGCGTACATCTTGGCTATAAGCAGGGGAATTCCCAGCTCTCTGCGGTGAAACCAGTCCAGTGCCGTGCACACAGAAGTCATCGCCCGCGAGCGGTCGAAATTCGCACGTACAAACGGTAAAGGGTTAATTGAGGGCAAATGGCAAAGTCTGTTGGGTCGAGGGGTGCTACCGAGGACATCAACAACTGAATTGTTCTTGCATCACAGACTATTTGGCTGAATGCAAAGCCTTCTAGAGTCATCTGGGATCTCCATACGGCTACTATGGCTAAGGCTAATTGACTGCTACGTTAAAAAGCATTTTGCTTTTCAACTGCGATCCCTGAGTCCTCACTGAGACACACTCTAGATGTTTCCCAGACGACGGGCTCTCCTCGTAGAGGTCACAAATACACACATGGCCAAAAGGGACCTCTACAGATACACACACGGACAGCAAAGGAATTGACTTTCAGGTAATTGGCTAACTGACTTACACTCTACCCAACTGAGCCATGCTATCAAATAATTTCCCCGGCACACTGGATAGTTGCTTGTTGTTTGACATTGTGCTGCAACAGAAGAAGCAACAGTACCAGCAATAGCATCAGCAAGCAATCATTAACAAGGCATATCCGTGAAAAGGAACTCTTGGTGGGCTGTTAGGTGTTGGCGTGCATATCGGGCACTTGGAATCCTGGTCTTGCTTACACGTCGTGGCCGACCTGTAGTGCTCCTTGTCGCAATATGTGCGAATGTCGGACTGTCAATATTTGAATACATGTTACGAGTGCAATTTGAATTTACAGTATTTACAATTTGTCTTTACGTCGCACTCTTACCTAAGGTATATCCCAGGAGCGATAGGGTCCAGGTCCGCTGCCCATAGCTAAGTTCTAGGTATAGTAAGTATTTGTAGTAAGGTAGCTTGACACATGACTAGCTTCGCTCTATAATCTTGTTCTGAAATGAATTGCATGTGCGGAATTATTTGATCTCTTCGATCGAACTGTCGATTTATTTGAACTGCATTTTTCTGATTTATTTATTTTCCTTTTTGCATGCACGCACTGGCAGCGCTCCATTGCAGCCGCGATACGCGATCGCGGGATCGCTACGCGCGTACGATGCACTTCCCAAACTGGCTGGCTTTTGCACGCGGCAAAATCATGATTATCTATTTTTGGTTTCACATTTTTGCACACAGTACGCTGGCACGGCATGCGTACGCTGCCGTGCGAGCGAATCCTTTTTCGGAGCGCTCTGTTGTAGTGCTTCGTGTCCTTCTCTCGGTAGTTTTCTCTCTCCAAGCAGTGTTCTTTATGTGGTGAAAGAAGTGACAACGAACCAGGTCTCTCTCCCATCTTGAAGTTGTCGCGGCAGCTGCTGGCCAGCTGTCCGCGACAGTGTGTGCATGATTGTACAAGTATAAAGTGAAGTGTTTTACCACACTCCTTGCAAGACGGGTGTGTTACGAATTTGTATTACGACTATGATTTACGTATGTCGTTGTATTTGGTTCTTGTCTCGTAGAGTCCAGTGTCTGATGTCATGTATGGTCTAAGTGTACGTGTGAGCATGGTGTGATGTGTGACGTTTATGGTATGTGGTGCATGCAAGAGTACGCGTTGTCAGAGTGTGAGGATGTGCTTCCGTCTGTGTGAGAGTGACTGTCAAGTGAATGCTGTACATGCGCAGTGCTAGTTTGGTCTGGGAATGAGAGTCGTGTGTGATTCGTCCGTGGTCTGGTTGTCTTGGTCTTGGTCATGCGTTCTGTACGTATTAGTCCCTGATTGGTCGTCCCGATTTGTCGTCGCAATATTACTGCTTGTTCTTATTGTTTTCTTTGAGTCTTTTCCCGGGTGTCTTTTACCGTCGTCGTTTTCTGTCTAGTCTTTTCGTCTTTCTCCTCCTGTGCCCTTTCCGTTTGTATAAGAAGTCAGAAACTCCACCAAGTTGTTTGAGCTGTTGTGTGACAGGGGCCAGGGGGAGAAGGCAATACCATTTCCACCACATTGGCGCCCAACGGTATTTCGACGCGGAGTACTGCCTCCGCAGCCCACGACCCTGGGATCGTTTTGTTCTCGTCGTGGCTTCAGTTCGTGCTCGCCGTTTCGAAATATATTTTATTTCTCGTCGTTCAACTCACTTCACCGAGATTGCTACTACGGCCATGGAGATGGAAAGGCGTTCGCCAGCCTGGCCTGCAGGCCCCTTACCCGGTGAGTCGCTCCCAGTAGAGGGTTTGGTTGTTGTATATTCGTTGTGGTCCCGTCGCCTCACTCGATAGAGCTTGAGCATCATGTCGACGTACTCGGAGTGGTGCCTCTTGGCAAGTTTCCCTTTATCTTTTCGCGCTATCGTTCCGATACCATCAGTCTTTGTGACGGCGATCCGATTCTTGTGTCTCTCTTGTGTCTTTCTGTTTTGGTTTTTGCAGTCAGTGTGCGTATATTTGCTGGGATTTGTGCAGTTTTCTTGATTAGCCTTTCAGTGTGGTTGTGTAACTGTTTGGTTTGTAAGCTTGGTTCGGTTTTGAAGTTGCCACACACGTTTTGCTGTGATGGTTTGTACTGGGCCAGTTTTCTTGGTTACGAGGATACACCTGGTTCATAGCTGGGGTAGCCTTTCAGTGAGCGTATTTTTTTCGTTTTGTGTCGACTTGCGGGTCTCCCCAGTTTGTAGTGGTGGGCGTCCGATCATGGTGAGCCACGGTCTACCCCGTGAGCCGGAGAGATTCCTTCGTTCTCATGGTTTGCCTTGCGGGTATTTTTTAGCTGGCGGTACCGACTTGCGCCGGCCAGGGTGGGTAACTTGAAGGGTTTTTGGCAGGCAGCGGTCCCTGCGTTTTCGAGTTCCTGTTTTTTCTTTGCGTACTGGCAGCCATATAGTTGTTTCTTTTGTCTAGACTGTCCTCACTGATTGCTTACTCCTACCTGCCTGCTGTGTTCTGCTGTCTCTGTTGTAGTACGTTATTTTGTGTACGTCGTGTGTACGTCATGTTGGTGCATGCGCGTGTTGCTGTGGTATGAAAAGCAGTCTTCGTCTTGAGTTCATGATGTCTTCGTCTTGAGTTCGTCTTGTCTGGTTGTGTTTCGTCGTCGTGTCAATAAACAGTCTTCTAAATGTAGTTATCGTCGTCCCTTTGTATAAGTGTGGAGATGGCACGGAACTGGGAGCAGGTAGAGGAAAGCGAGTTACAACATTGGTGGCAGCGGTGATAGAAATTTGTTGTCAACTTCTGGATTCGTCCTGCGTGGCCTTCGCTCCCAGTTTCCGATGTCATCTCCAGTCGTCCTATCGTCAGTTTCGTCCATCTTCAAGAAGTTCGTCCGTCGTCCTCGTCCTTCATCATTCGTCTCTCCCGTCTCTTGTCAGTTGTCGTCACTGGTGGTCCCGGACACGACGTAAAACTGTGCCCAGAAGAAGAGGAAAGGAAAAAGAAGGATGGATGGTCCCGGACACGACGTAAAACTGTGCCCAGAAGAAAACCTGAAAAAGAAAAGAAAAAAGAAGGATGGATGGAAGGTGAAGAGAAGAAGAAGAGGCTGCAGAAGTGAGGATGTCGACGCTGAGCAGCGCTCCTGGAGATGGTGGACGACATGGCAGACGGCGTGAGGAGTTTCGTTGGTGAGAGGGTACGTGTGTTGGTGTGAACGTGAGGAGTATGTGAGTTTTGTATTTTCTGTTCTCCCAACATTTTGTTCTTTATTATTTGCTCTCCTCGAGGGTAAAGAGGCGCCCGCACAGCGCGTGTGTTCTGTTCGCTTTTTGATTTGCTCTTCTATGAGGATAACTAGAGGCCCCCACAGAGCCAGTGGATTTTGTTCTTTTTGTTATTCCTATGATTTGTGCTCTCACATTTTTAGAATTTTTGCGTGATCGTGAGGTGGTGTGTTGAGTGAAGTAGTGTTGTAACTGCCACCAATGTTGTAACTCGCTTTTCTCTACCTGCTCCCAGTCCCGTGCCATCTCCACACTTATACAAATGGACGACGATAACTACATTTAGAAGACTATATTTGTGACAAGACGACGGAACCACAACTAGACATGACGAACTCAAGACGAAGACATGATGAACTCAAGACGAAGACAGCTTTTCATACCACAGCAACACGCGCATGCACCAACATGACGTACACACGACGTACACAAAATAACGTACTACAACATAACTCCCTCCCAAGAGTAGAATCGTCCTCGATTCTAACAATAAAACAGAGTAAAAAGAGGAAAAGATCACACAAATCACTCAATCATACCACACCAGTCACACCCAGAAATAAAATACCTCTGCCTGCACTGCAGATTACAAAAACTCTGTCCGCCCACCCAGAACACCAGCCACGATCGCTGTCACACGTGTAGGAACTGATAACCTCAAAAACTCTACTTCACACAACACACCACCTCACGATCACGCAAAAATTCTAAAAATGTGAGAGCACAAATCATATGAATAACAAAAAGAACAAAATCCACTGGCTCTGTGGGGGCCTCTAGTTATCCTCATAGAAGAGCAAATAAAGAAACAAACAGAACACACGCGCTGTGCGGGCGCCTCTTTACCCTCGAGGAGAGCAAATAATAAAGAACAAAATGTTGGGAGAACAGAAAATACAAAACTCACATTCTCATCACATTCACAACAACACACGTACCCTCTCACCAACGAAACTCCTCACGCCGTCTGCCATGTCGTCCACCATCTCCAGGAGCGCTGCTCAGCGTCGACATCCTCACTTCTGCAGCCTCTTCTTCTTCTCTTCACCTTCCATCCTTCTTTTTTCTTTTCTTTTTCAGGTTTTCTGGGCACAGTTTTACGTCGTGTCCGGGACCACCAGTGACGACGACTGCCAAGAGACGGGAGAGACGAATGATGAAGGACGAGGACGACGGACGAACTTCTTCAAGACGGACAAAACTGTGACGATAGGACGACTGGAGATGACATCGGAAACTGGGAGCGAAGGCCACGCAGGACGAATCCAGAAGTTGATTTTGACAACAATTTCCATCACCGCTGCCACCAATGTTGTAACTGCCACCAATGTTGTAACTCGCTTTTCTCTACCTGCTCCCAGTCCCGTGCCATCTCCACACTTATACAAATGGACGACGATAACTACATTTAGAAGACTATATTTGTGACAAGACGACGGAACCACAACTAGACATGACGAACTCAAGACGAAGACATGATGAACTCAAGACGAAGACAGCTTTTCATACCACAGCAACACGCGCATGCACCAACATGACGTACACACGACGTACACAAAATAACGTACTACAACAGTAGTTTAGAGTTTTTGAGGTTATCAGTTCCTACACGTGTGACAGCGATCGTGGCTGGTGTTCTGGGTGGGCGGACAGAGTTTTTGTAATCTGCAGTGCAGGCAGAGGTATTTTATTTATGGGTGTGACTGGTGTGGTATGATTGAGTGATTTGTGTGATCTTTTCCTCTTTTTTACTCTGTTTTATTATTAGAATCGAGGACGATTCTACTCTTGGGAGGGAGTTATGTTGTAGTACGTTATTTTGTGTACGTCGTGTGTACGTCATGTTGGTGCATGCGCGTGTTGCTGTGGTATGAAAAGCAGTCTTCGTCTTGAGTTCATGATGTCTTCGTCTTGAGTTCGTCTTGTCTGGTTGTGTTTCGTCGTCGTGTCAATAAACAGTCTTCTAAATGTAGTTATCGTCGTCCCTTTGTATAAGTGTGGAGATGGCACGGAACTGGGAGCAGGTAGAGGAAAGCGAGTTACAACATCTCTATGTTTTACATGCTATACACTGCGCCTCATTAACATCCGAATGGACACGTCGTACGAGACGACCGCCCACCGCGTGGTCTTGCGCTAAGGTCTCCACGTCTGCAGCCAGCCACTTGCCGTTGTCCTGTCTTCTTCGCCTGGTATTGTGTCTTCTCACCTCTTTTGTTTTTCTCCTACTCCATTTTTTCTCGTGGTGCATATAACTGTAGTACGCATTTTCCTACTTGCTAGAGTCGAGGTCGACTCTCGCCGGAGGGGAGGGCTATGTTACGAATTTGTATTACGACTATGATTTACGCATGTCGTTGTATTTGGTTCTTGTCTCGTAGAGTCCAGTGTCTGATGTCATGTATGGTCTAAGTGTACGTGTGAGCATGGTGTGATGTGTGACGTTTATGGTATGTGGTGCATGCAAGAGTACGCGTTGTCAGAGTGTGAGGATGTGCTTCCGTCTGTGTGAGAGTGACTGTCAAGTGAATGCTGTACATGCGCAGTGCTAGTTTGGTCTGGGAATGAGAGTCGTGTGTGATTCGTCCGTGGTCTGGTTGTCTTGATCTTGGTCATGCGTTCTGTACGTATTAGTCCCTGATTGGTCGTCCCGATTTGTCGTCGCAATTTTACTGCTTGTTCTTATTGTTTTCTTTGAGTCTTTTCCCGGGTGTCTTTTCCCGTCGTCGTTTTCTGTCTAGTCTTTTCGTCTTTCTCCTCCTGTGCCCTTTCCGTTTGTATAAGAAGTCAGAAACTCCACCAAGTTGTTTGAACTGTTGTGTGACAGGGGCCAGGGGGAGAAGGCAATACCATTTCCACCACAGGTGTTTCAACGACCCTTGTGGCCGGGTCACAAGAGACACAGTTCTGAAGTGGACGCACGTTGCAACAACACCTCCCCCCCCCCCCCCGAAATAAAGACATTGGGAAAACTAGTTATGACTAACAGTCCACCAAATTTATAATTTCACGGTTCGCGTGAGACTCGGTTTCTCTATATAGAGGCCGAGTTTTCCGCATCCGTAGGAACGCCACCACCCTTCAAGGATCAAGGCGCAGATGCAGCTCCTAAAGCGGTGGGAGGTGAGTAGATCAGCTCACCAGCATGTGGTCAAAGACCGAAAGTCCCATTCACTGCATCCATGTTTTCCTCGTGCCAGGCCACGAGTTCCCAATTAACTGTGGGTCGCAGCACGGCTGGAAAAAATCCTTCCGCTTCCAAGCAAGACTTGAACCTGGTACCCTCTGTTTCTCAATCATGGTCTTAGACCATCCCACTATGCCTGCCTGAGTCCACCAAGGCAACGAGATAATACACAGTCAGATAGCGCGACAACAAGGCACAAAACTGAAAAAAGTCATAACTAATAAAGTATAGATCCTTTTTCTCTTTACATGTTTCTATAGGCTCAACATCCGAGTTTTTATTGGGAAAACTATTACTTATTACGAGTAGACGACTTAAATACAACTGGACATGATGAACTCAAGACGAAGACAACGTTCTCAAACAACAACATGCGCATGCACATGACGTACACAGAATAGCACGCTACAACAATGTCTTACAAACGCATTACGCTCGAGCTGGAAAAATCAGATGGGATTGACTTGATACTGGTCCCAGAGATCGTTCTGTGTATACGAGCATAAGAAAGCGAAATGTCCACAGATGAGTGTAAGGATGAGACATGCGCACACACGGCACAGTAGTATCTTCCCTGCTAAAACCAGAGGTAGTATCTTCCCTGCTAAAACCAGAGGTAGTATGTTCCCTGCTAAAACCAGAGGTAGTATCTTCCCTGCTAAAACCAGAGGTAGTATCTTCCCTGCTAAAACCAGAGGTCGCTTACACCACATTTTACTGTATACTGCACAGGCAGAACATTTCGTCGGTCAATCATTTCGTCCAACTCCAAAGAAAGGGAGTTCGTCCGGTTGAAAATTTCGTCCATGGATCATAAGAGTGTATTGAAAAGTTGGACAAATCGACATTAGTCCGACCTTTAATTTAGTCCAAAAGCTCCTCGGATGAAAAAGACGAAATTAAATTCCAGACGAATATTTCTGCTTATGCAGTAACTGTGTTGTTTAGCACTATGTCCGACTGCTATTATGTAATGCTTTAGTACTTCCTTTGTGAACGGATACGATAATTTACTTTTTACTTACTTCCTTTGTTCACACTTTTCATTATGCAGTCATTTTATTGTTCTTTTCGTATACCTTACCCTCAGCTCCCACACTATTCACTGACGGGCGGAACGCGAAAATCGAATTTGGATAATATAATTCTTGAAAACTCTTTAAACTCGTTGTTGTCTGGCCATGTATGGATCAATTATATATTCTTTATTCATCCATGCATCTGCGAATCATACGTATGTACATGTACGTGCTCTCAGTTCGCGCTCTACCAGGTCCAAGGCCAAGGCTCTGCCTTCCTGCTCCTGGCTCCGGCCGGCTAGACATTTCAGTCCTTTTGTTCGAGTTGACAGGATCGAGCCAGATTTGTTGCAGGGCTGTTCTATTTGCCAAGCGTAACGTTTTCGACTGACATGTTTTAGTTTGGGAACTCTAGTAGCAATAACGTTTCCGTCAATATAGGTGATGGTGGCTCAGTGTCAACAGCTGCATTGTTCGAGTCACGTACCCGGAGCAATGAATGTGTTGGAAACTCTTCGTCCAGAAGGCATCTTTCGCTTCAAAGCAGTATTTGCTTCCGAAACGGGGTCAAGCCGCAACGCAACGGTGCTGAAAAGAGTGATAATGTAGGACTTCATTGGATTCTGAAGCCGAATCTTTTTCTTTACGCTGAAGCAACAGGAACCTGTAGTTCCTGGCCCACGGCGATCGCTGAACAATGTGTTGATGCGCAGCATCTCGGAGCTCTGCTCTGCTCGGTGTCTGAGCATTTGACCAGTTTTACTGTTCCCGTCAGTTTGATCGAGCTGTTGAGTGCTATGTAGTCTACATGTATGCCTGCTTTATCGACCATACATTTTCAGTCTGGGCTGTGTACTGTACACATGTGAGGCATCGGCAGCAAGAACCGGGGTCTTGGCGATTTTTCAAAATGCCAATGTTTGCGAAAAACCGAACCGATGTCGTTTTTTAGTCACCGGGATCAAAGCAAAAAGACTTCTGGCGCTATCGCTTTGAAAGTGCCTTCCTCTTGGTGGCTTCGCTATAATTTGTCGTCGTCGCAGTTGTAGTTTATCCGCCAAGCACTTGGGACGTCCAGGTAGGTGTTTTCAGCCACCACTCTGGAGGCGTTTGCGCTCTGGGTATCGTCTGCAAATCATGCGCTCAAAAGAGAGCGAAACAAATAATTTCTTGGCGGAACGATCCCGTCACAAATTCTTGATGGAGCATGAGCAACTAGAATATTTGGCAGCTGGATCTCCAGAGATACTCCGCTGCCTGTGATAGTCGACAGCAAGAAGAATCAGGTGAAAGCAAAGAGCTTTCGCTCAGATGACAAGCCATCAGCGGAGGCAGCGCAGACGATGAGTTTGAGAGCTCCGTGACACGAGGTGGCGACGCGGACAGCAGCGCTGAGAGTGCCAAACGAGATTCAGTACTCCGTGGCGACCATTCGCAGCTGGATAAGTTGGTGAGATACGGAGACAGCCCTGAATGAACTAAACCTTACTTGCTACAAGATATTTTGTGAATAAAATTGTTGCAAGTATACATGCATGCTTGCAGTAATCATGAAATTTGTCACAGTATAATGCATGTGTCTACGAGCTGCTGTACCTAGGCGAGCAAAACAGGCTTGGTGCCGGCATTGGTGGATGTATCTGGCTTGGTCCTGCACGCATTATATTGTCTTGTAGGTTCTTCCCAGCCATGTAAAACGTCAGTTGCTTGGCTTCTTTCTGTCTGACAAGTCTGTGTACAACACCAGACCTGCACATGACAGGGATTGAGTTTTCAAGTTCATAGCAGCAAGTGTAGGCAACAATGTTACTATAATTATTATCAACTAGAGTACGCTGTGCTTCCCTCAAGACCTGTAAATATGCTAAATTATTCTCAACCACTCCATCAGAGCCAACTGTAACTCCGTTCCATTTTGCCTTGTTGCTGACCATTTTTTGTCGACCTTCACCCATCATTTCGGGCGTTCTTTTTACCATCTTGGAAGGCGCCCGGAGCTCCAAAATTTGGCCCATAGATCACTCATTTAGTGGACAGTTCAAAGCCATCAAAAACTCATTTTCGCCAAATATCTCCTCACCCTGGTTTTTGCTGCCCATGCCTCATAATTATGTGCTTACCGGTTTGCCATGCATACACATTATGAGGGGAAAAAGCCGACCGAACGATCGGTATTTTTCTGGCCATGTTACCCGAAACCAGAGACTTTTTCGTTCGGGCCTAATGTTGAAAATCCCAAAGCATTTTAATATGTGAGCGATTGACTGATTGAGAGAGTGAGGGTGTGTACGAGAGAGATGAGAAAGTAAGAAAGAGTGAGGGAGAGAGGGGGAGAGAGAGAGAGAGAGAGAGAGAGAGAGAGAGAGAGAGAGAGAGAGAGAGAGAGAGAGAGAGAGAGAGAGAGAGAGAGAGAGAGAGAGAGAGAGAGAGAGAGAGAGAGAGGAGGGAGGGAGGGAGGGAGGGAGGGAGGGAGGGAGGGAGGGAGGGAGGGAGGGAGGGAGGGAGGGAGGGAGGGAGGGAGGGAGGGAGGGAGGGAGGGAGGGAGGGAGGGAGGGAGAGGGAGGGAGGGAGGGAGGGAGGGAGGGAGGGAGAGGGAGGGAGAGAGAGGGAGAGGGAGGGAGAGAGAGAGAGAGAGAGAGAGAGAGAGAGAGAGAGAGAGAGAGAGAGAGAGAGAGAGAGAGAGAGAGAGAGAGAGAGAGAGAGAGAGAGACAGAGAGAGAGAGAGAGAGAGAGAGAGAGAGAGAGAGAGAGAGAGAGAGAGAGACAGACAGAGAGACAGACAGAGAGAGAAAATCCGAGGTTAATAATTACAAGTGTTTGACGCCTGAAGGGATCTTTGGGAATGTTGTCAAACTCATTCCAGAGAGAGTCCTGTACAAGACAAGTAAGCAAGCAGAAAAAGTCAACATGTTAAGCCGTGTTGTGCCATGATGATGAGCACATCAGTTTCAGCATAGTCCTAGCCTATGCACATCCCTTCATTTTGCACTTCCCTGGTTGGCCACTAGACCAACTGTGGTGGTGATACTGTAGACTGCACAACTAGTAACACATGTGTCATGGCCGCGCTTGGCGGGTTTGTGACTTGGCTTAGATCAGTCTAGTGGCTACCCAGGTAGACGACCAATATAGTCGCCATCCAAGTTGCTAGCTCACACCTGTTTTCCGGCTCACACAAGGTAGTCGAAGGTTGAAGGGGAGCGATCAAAGATACTTTTATTCGTTGGAAGAAGGCGGCTTTTATGTGATTTTGGTTATAGTATAATTGTGATATAATAATTAGTAGGAAATATTAGTATAGCTTCGGGGAGCTCGCTCACCCACATTACATGATAGTGTTACAAATATGAGTGATCTCCGAGGTTATTCGTACGTCGATCGTGCGACGGAGCCTGGAGAACGCTGTCGGATGTTACTGCAGCTAGAGCGCGCCGCCTTCGTACGGTGTCTTGATTGGGTCACCCTTCATCTTCTGCCCCGTAGGCTCTTCCCTCTCATTACCCCGTAGGGCGCTTCACGGTCAAGCCGCGACCTCTCCCAAAAAGGGATAACGGAGTCCGCAGTGCGCGAAGCACTTGCAGGACCCTTTACGTCGTACGACGCGAGAAGAGGGGCCTTGCTTGCTCGACTATCAAAGGTATCAGCTCCCTTGCAGGACTAAGCAGGGTCCCCTCAAGCTCAACAGTGTAGTGAGTACAATGCTGACGACTTGTACTGAAGGTGTAGACGCCGTACGACAACACTTGTGACTCGAGGCCACGAGTTGTAAGCCATGATTGCTCAACTAACGAAAGTGCCAAATCCTTCGCAGGACTAATCATGGTTCTTACAGAACTCTAGTATATTTCGGAGTCCAGCTTTTGGCTGCTGAACTCAATGCATGGTCGCTTTCACGACGAGTCTGATCCGGGTCATGACACATGTGGCAGTAGCAGCTGTTAATAGATGATATGCCAAATAACGTGCAACTAGACTTAAGAGGGCATCGCACACAAGTTCCATACACATTATACTACAATGTGTACATGGTAGGCCCTGAGCTCTGCAGGAATACCAGTCACAGGTAACCGTACAACTTTGAACTTTGTATGCAACTGTTGTCCCTGCCCTTTTGGCACGTGTGTGCCCCTTTTGGCACGTTCGTGCGGACCGCGCGCGGACTGCGCCGGTTGGAGATTATCGTACATGTTCTTGTTGTTGTGCGCATGCTTGCATGCTTATCGTGCGCATTCTGGTTGTTTTGGGTGCCTTCTTCCTGAGACTCTCCTTGGAGCAACAATGATAATCTGTCCTCTGAGTGTGGCGTACGTGTGATGTATGAATAAGAGAGTAATCGGAAGGGCTATCGTGCGAGGGAACTAAAACCCTCCGACGACAATTGGCGCCCAGCTAGTGGCATCGTTTCCCACGACCCTGAGATCGTTTTCGTTTTCGCCGTGGCTTCAAATCTTGTCTTCTCCACGCGTCCTCGCCATGGCTCCGCTTTGCTCCATCTGCTCAACCCTGTCCTCGGAGCTCCTACTCAGGTGAGCATGCTTTGTCTGCCCTGCGTAATGTTTGGTACCTTGTACGTAGTTCTCCTGGTACTAGTCTTCGATTTGGGATTTTCAAAATACAGGTCGTCCCCCGTTAATACGAGTACGGTTAGTACATAAACCCCGTTAGTACATAAGAAATCTCAAGTCCCGGACGAAACGTGGTCACTTCCATACAAATTTTGTCGGTTAGTACATAATTCGTTAGTACATAAACCCCGTTAGAACATAACATTTCTCCATACCCGCATGCCACCTACCTCAATAGTACATAATTTGTTGATCTTTTGGCCTTCCAGTGGAGGCACGTCGTGTTCTAGTTTCTACTTCTGGACGCAATTAGCTCAGAAATCAGAGCGCACATCACAAAGGGACAAAGCTCTGTTTTCTTTCGAGTGACTGTACAGGCGCGGCTGGGCATGTATCATGTAAACTGTAGAATCTTCGCTGACTGCGACCGTTAGAACATAATTTTTATGTAATATCGAGGGAATCAAGAATATCTCGCTCCCTAGTCATGGCAGCAAGAAACACTCAGAAAAGTTGAAAAAAGTGAAATATTCTGGTATACAAGGAAATTATGTACACTTTCGTTTAGTACATAAGCCCCGTTAATACATAACATTTGTCACGTCCCAGAGATTATGTATTAACGAGGGATGACCTGTAATTGTTTCGCTTCGTGGCATTGAAGTCCCGGGTTGTTCTCTTGTGTACAAGTACCTCGTTCGAGCCTCGCTCTTGTTAGTACATGATTGTGGCCCACGTTGTGTGTGCGGTGTTTTGAACCAGTGTACATTGTCGCCCTCCGGCCTCTGGCTGTTCGAGTGGTCGTGTGCACTGTGTTTTCACACCTTCTGACTTGAAAGTTCTGTTGTCCGTGCTGTCGTGCATGCTCATCGTGTTGCTTGGTACGTCATCATGGTAGTCAGCATGGGTAGCTTTGCTCGTGTTTGCTTACTCGCCCTGTGTTGTGCACTGGTGCACGTCGTTTCGGTGTCGTCGGACTGCTCCGATCCTGTGTCGTTCGATTTGTTTCAGTTTGGTAGATGTCCCCATCGATTTACTCGATGTGGTGGCACTCCGTCGTTTCCAGTTTCAAGTACAAGTGCTTTCTTTTTCGTTTTACTAGTATTCATGTTTTGTGTCGAGCGTTTTAGTGCTCCGCCTGGTTGTCCCGCTCATGTGGAATGGCTGACGCCCAGTGGTGTAACATGCTTCTGAGATTCTCGTTGACGGTCCGGGTGGCAATATTTCTGTGAGCGTGTTGTTTGGTATTTGTGTTTTGGCACGTGGGTCTCTTCATTTCACCTAGGGGGCGTCCGATCATGGTGAGCCACGGTCTGCCTGGTGGGTTGGTGGGATCCAGCGCTTATTTGTATCGGTTCGCCTTGCGGGTGTTCGGTTTCCGTGTTTTGCTGGCTGGCCTTTGTGCGTCCCAGTAGGGTTCAGGACGGTGTTTTTTTGTGTTTCGTGAGCGGATGTGTTTCACGCGTGATATTCAGGTTCAATCCCTGTGGGTTTTTTCAGGTTAGAGACCTGTGTTTTTTTCAGGATAGAGGCCTGTGGTTATATAGGGTAGCGCCCTGTGGTTTTTCTATGTTAATTTTTGTTTGCGTATTGGTGACCGATTTGTTTGTGTGCTATCTGGTGTCCTCATGGATAGACTGCCCCTGTATCCGTAGGCGTGTTCAATATTGCTGTTCTGCCATTCCTTCTCGTGGTTTTTCTTGTCTGAATTTTGGCTCCTAGTATTGCTGAGATGTTTGCGTCAGTCCGTGTTTCTTTCTTTCCGTGTGTGTCTCTGTGAGTTTTCGTAGCCCCATCGGCTGCGGGATGGTTTTCCGGACAACTCCTGTGCTGTCAGATGACTGGTCACCCGGTTCAGCTGCCGCGGTCTTCGCAGTAGCGTCGGTTTGCCTTGGCTTCGCACCAGGGCGAGGTGGTTGTTTTCCGGGGGCCCACGCCTGAAAGATGGCGGTTCCCTCTATGGGTGGGCCCAGTCTGTTTTCTTTCCACCCCTTTGCTTTGGCTTTTCCCCCGTTGTCCGGAGTTACTAATGTATCCTACTGTTTTGGCCCTGCGTATCTGCATGTGTATGTTGTTCACATTTGATTTCTTTTTCTCCTGTCTGTCTTCTCGTTTTGTTTTCTTCTCTCCCATCCTCAGGAGAGGATGCATTTTTTTCATGTGGAAGTATGTTGTCCCTGCCCTTTTGGCACGTGTGTGCCCCTTTTGGCACGTTCGTGCGGACCGCGCGCGGACTGCGCCGGTTGGAGATTATCGTACATGTTCTTGTTGTTGTGCGCATGCTTGCATGCTTATCGTGCGCATTCTGGTTGTTTTGGGTGCCTTCTTCCTGAGACTCTCCTTGGAGCAACAATGATAATCTGTCCTCTGAGTGTGGCGTACGTGTGATGTATGAATAAGAGAGTAATCGGAAGGGCTATCGTGCGAGGGAACTAAAACCCTCCGACGACACAACTGTGGTAGATTTGGTGTCACGTGTTGTGTTTCGTCTTGGTCGCTGTGGACACGCGTCATTGGTTGGTGGTGTTGTGCGCATGCGCGAAACTGTGTGAGCTAGTCTTTGGTCTGTCGTCTTGTCAAGATGTAGTCGTTTTCCGTGTTCTTGGTTATTCGTCAATAAAAGAGTGTAAAAAGGCAGTCCAGTGGTGGCGGTTGAGCTGATGCAGTGATGGAGAATTAATGTTAGATTTACAACTACAACACAACTACTTTGCAATGCCCTCTCAAGTCTAGTTGCACGTTATTTGGCATATCATCTATTAACTTAAACTAACATTTATTTCTCGTCTTCACTGTCATTCCGCTGCTTTGTCTACGCGTCCGCCACCTCTTGAACACATCAATATGAGCTTGAGAAACCACATCTTCACTATCGGCAGCGATAGGTAGATGATGTCACTTGTCAACTATGTTGACTGCATGCATTCGCTTCTAAGCGCACTTCAGCACCGTGTTGCAGTCGAGCAAGCCAGCCAGGACAGCAACTGTGCTTGCTGTACGCAGGTAAGATATGGCACTTGGCGCACTAAAAGTCGGCCGCTGGTCACGCAATGCAGGTGGCCGCTGATTTGAGTGCATGTACATGTATGCAGATCCTTGCAGAACTGTGGGTGTAAAATCAGGTGATCCCTAATACCAGAGGTTGCTTTAGAGGGGAAGTTAAAGCTAAAATCAAATGTTCACCAGTTGTAGTCTTCGGGGTGCTGAGTCGAATGGTCTTGGTCCGAGGAAGCTGAGATGCTCCCTTCCTCCTTTATTCCCAATCAAACTCACCCCTTCCACCAAAACTGGGTGACTGGGCCCTACTAGATGGGAAGTTGTACGCAAAATGTCACTAAACGCGCCATTTCGTTCTTGTAAAAGCACGGATGACCGCGATTGGCCCTGTTGTGAAATGATTGTGTTGTTTTCCTGTGTGATGGCATTCCCCAAACTGTCTCGTCTAGTCGCGTGCATGTGTGATATGAGCATGCGCGATTTTGTAGTCGAGAGTCCTTTTGTCAGTCTTCTTGTTCGTCCTTTTGAGTGTTGTCTCCATTTCCGTCTTGTCAATATAAATAATGTAATACAAACCAGTCTTGTCCTTTGTGTCCTGCGTCCCGGGGAACGGAATGGCTGTGATTCCGTTACAACGTGGTGCCGAAACCCGGGACGCAGAGGATGAGTTAGTTTGTGATGAGTCTGTCCGTCGTCGTCAACAACGAAGTAACTGTTGTGGTGACTTTGAAGTAAACAGAGCGTGGGAGCGGAGGAGGTGAAGAGCTGGTGGGAGCGGAAGACGACGCGGAGAGGAGGCAGAGAAGGTGATGGACTAGAACAGTCACTGTGGACTGGAGCCTGAGACGGCAGGAACCGCGACGGAGCGTGTGGCCGTGGCTCGCCAGAGGACAGTGGACGAGTCTGGCGTCACCGACTGTGTGTCGTCCTTGTTGTTCGTCTTGTTGTCTTGCTCGCTGTGTTGTTCTCTCTCTGTTCAGTTCGTTGCTTGTTGCTGTGTTGTTTCAGTTTGGTTGTTGTCGGTCTGTTGCTCTTGTATTCGTTCTGTTGTTCTCCATTATTTTTGTTGTAGATTTATTTGGTGCGGCTGTGCGCATGTTATAATTTTGTTGGAGCTTCGGCTTCCAAGTTTTGGTTGGCCTTGTGTGGCGTGGCCTGGTTGTAGAGCGTCGGCTCTAGGTTTTTGTTTGGCACTGTGTCGTGGCCGGATTTTATTTTAGAGCGTCGGCTCTAGGTTGATGGTTGGTTTTCGTTTTTCTGTTCTGCTGTGGTTCCTTTTGCTGTTGTGCATGTGGAACGTGGTGTCGGTTTATTATTTTGTGGAATGTCATCAAGGGGGCAGGTGTTGTGAAATGATTGTGTTGTTTTCCTGTGTGATGGCATTCCCCAAACTGTCTCGTCTAGTCGCGTGCATGTGTGATATGAGCATGCGCGATTTTGTAGTCGAGAGTCCTTTTGTCAGTCTTCTTGTTCGTCCTTTTGAGTGTTGTCTCCATTTCCGTCTTGTCAATATAAATAATGTAATACAAACCAGTCTTGTCCTTTGTGTCCTGCGTCCCGGGGAACGGAATGGCTGTGATTCCGTTACAGCCCATATGCTGTAGTCTTTTGGACGATGAGTAAACTGGTTTTGGTCCGAGAAGGCTGCGATGCAGCGTTCGGTCCTTATTCCCAATGGAACATGGCTGAATAAGCGGTCACGTGCTCATGCGTACACCAGTCACCTGGTCATGCGTACACCAGTCACCTGGTCACCGAGCCCGCAGGCTACAAGTCACATTGAACTTCAAACTTTCACACCAAAGTTCAACTCGAGTGACAGGAGCGCGCCCAAACAGGCGGCGACTGTGTTACAGTTCAGTAAAATAGGTACAAACGTTAGGGAAACTCAATGGGAAGAAAACCTCACTAACAAAAATCACACAACCCGTTGCTAGCCAGGATCAATCGCAAACTTTTCTCCAGGGACTTTTAAAATAGTCCCTTCCTTTATCGCCTTTTTGTTGTCCTTGACCTCTACGAGGTCGGTTCTCTTTTGGGCGCATGTATTTATTTTGTGTGGCGCTGTGTCCGCTCGGACCGTCCACGGGCTGCGCGGGTTGCGCCACAGCGAACATGCGTGCATTGTACGCATTCTTGCTTCCTGATTCGCTGGCCTTCTTCCTGAGACTCTCGTTGAGCAACAACCAATTATCAGTCATCTGTGTGTGGCGTGTCGAGAGAGTAATCGGAAGAGCATATCGTCGGTTAGAAAAAAACCGGCGAAAAATGGCACCCAACGTGGGGCTCGAACCCACGACCCCGACGGCATTTTCCTCGCCAAAGTTGGAAAATGTTGATGTCTGCAATGTTTTGTTACCGTTCAAGTTATCTTTTCACAGCACATACTGTAATCTCGAACATATAAGGCCATGGTCTTATATGTGCGAGATTAAGACCACCTCCGGTTATAAGACCATGGTTTTATACGTGAATGAAAATCACAAAGCCACACAAGGATCATCATGGTTCCATTGTACCGGCATTCATCAATAATATGCGTACTTGCACATGTACATGTCGATGCGATGTTTGTCTCTAGCATATAAGACCATGGTCTTATTTCGAACGAAAATGCACTTGTGAGTGGACCGAAAACTGTGACTATTCGATTATAAGACCATGGTCTTATAATTCGTGAGATTAACCCTTTGAGACCCCAACGATCGAATTCGATCGTTTGGTATACGGTGACACTAAAATAGTTATATCTCTGGTGTTCCTTCACCGAAGTTCATAAACAAAGTATCTACGTTTCGAGAAGACCCTTGCCTATCACGTCGAAGTTATCTGAAGTCTCTAGGAGTTACTATGCCGCCGTGGTGAGACTCGAAGTCGGAGCCAAACTGAAAAATGCACTCAGATCGAAAAATTCAAATTTTCACGCTGCACTTGGCAGGAGATTTCCCCGGAATGGTACGTCATACTCAAGCATGCTGCACACCAACATTTTGCGCTTGAAACGAGCTTTCCGCTGTAGTTTGTTTGAAGTCGATGCGATGAAGGAGAATGGAATGGCGGCTGTTTGAACTTTGCTGAAGCTGTTCGCGCACGGCTGCTGTTTTGGGCGGCATTATAGGCCACGCAGAGCAGAGGCTGTGCAGGTAGCTGGATTGAGTGTGGTACCAGTCTCTTCGTCTTGGAAATGCCTTTCCAACGGTGGTTAGTTTGTAAAAATCGGTGAATGTTTCATAGAGATACGAGTGAAAGTGCATGATATTTGAAGGTGCGTAAATTGTCGCACTTTCAGTGGGGTCTCAAAGGGTTAAGGTAAACAAGGCTTTCATTGATGGCCACGGATCCTGCGTTGCCGGGTTTCTGCACTTGCCAGGTAAATACCCAACGAAGTCGGGGACAACAGATAAAGAATGTCTCTGTCCTGCTCACACACAATCTCATTCCGAGCATGCTTTTAGCAGTGCGATGAAGACAAGGGCCTCCGTTGGCACTTACATTACACCAAGGGCCTGACTTGTGGATGAAGCAAGGGCGATAACACGATTGTACAGGAACCAGTTCTGGCCTCCTAGTATTCTGCATAACATGGAAAAGAGGCGAAACAGAACAAGAAGACAAAATTACAAACAGGAGCAGTGGCAGCAACAGCAGTAGCAACACCAGCAACACCACCAGAAGCAGCAGTATTAGCAGCAGCAGCAGCAGCAGCATCTGTATCACCAGCAGCACCAGCAGCACCAGCAGCATTCACGCTTTCCGTGCCATGGACGCGTTTCCGCGTTCTGCCTACACTGTACAATATACACCGTATATCGCAGGCTATAGACGAGTGTACAAACTGCTATTACACCGTCAAACTGAATCCGATTTCTAAAAGTGAGGCACAGCTGGAAAGGTCTTCAGCTTAGCTTTCTAGGGATATCCAGTTCGTTGCGATACGACAAGGTATGACCGAGCGGCGACAAATCGAATGGCCAGAATATGAAAATTTCACTTTTCAGCGATCGATTCGAATTTTTGTGCGTGACTTCGTGCGGGCTAGGGAATTTCCCCTAGAGAAAGCGCGTGTGCAATGAGCATCCATGGATGCGTTTGAATGAAAGCTTTGCAACGCAGTTTGAATTGTAAAAATCCGTCCACTATGAGCACGATAGAAAACATGAGAGGCAGTCGTTTTGTCACTTTTTGGCATGGTAAGGGTACTTGGAGAGGAGATGGAGGTGGCCCTGGCATGCTAATCCAGCTGTGAGTCCCCGGAATGGCTTCGTCTGGTCCAGGTCTTTCCAACAAGCCATGGATCGTGAAAATCCATCAAGGAATTGTGAAATTGGAATAAATTTTGTTCTGAGCTGTGGGTGCATGCAGCTTTGAGCAGGTGAGCTCAGCGCATGGACAATGCAACCAATACAGGAAAACAGGCTGGCATGGACAGGATTAGCCCTTTGGGGCCCACAATTATTTCAAGAAATGCACTGCATACGCGAGCCCAGTTACTTATCTGGTCGTAACTTTGGTGTTCTTGGGCCGATTTTGGTGATCTTGGGCTTTCTGGAAAGCTCTTGGCCAGAGTAACACAGCGATAGCCAGCAATCCATCACTCGATCCACAGAACCAGCGCCGCAGCGCGATACGGCGCTCCAAAGCCAGCATTGCGAGCACCCAACTAAAATTCTCTGCCATTTCAACAAATTGCATCGCAGATCGCTTAATTGTTTTACTGGAGAGCTGAGAAACATGTCTTTGCGATGACGTGAACTATCTGTAGCTGCGTGGGCCGCGAGTCAGGGAAAACCCCTAAAAACGAGTTCAAAATGCACGCGCTCGAGTTGACTCTGCTGAGCGAATTTAGTTCGAGTCTCGTATCTCCGCTCTCCGACCTCGGATCGCCTTCGGGTTTTTTCGAGTCGCTAGCTGGGACAATTCTAATGTCGATAGCTCTTTCGATTGTCCGATTTGGTAAAGGGACAGCCGAGTTACGCCAGGTTGCGCTTTGAAACGTATGCACTGTACACTGGTACGGATATATCTGTACTATGGGCCTCAAAGGGTTAGGACATAATATCAATATCTGTAAGCAAAGGGTAAGCAACAGCATTCGGCCGTTGACAGTTTCTGGGTTCTCTTATGAGGTCTTAGCGACCGAAAAAGCTGTCAGAAGGAATAGAACTTCAATGCTCGAAGGAACCTCTTGTTGCTGTTGTGGGCGAGTGGGTATAATTACGTATGTGGTCGGCCACAGAGCGCAATGGTGGTGGTGAATATCAGCCAGAATGTCTGTGTTGTCCCTGCCCTTTTGGAGGGTATGTGCCCCTTTTGGCACGTGTGTGCTGGGTCCGCGTGGTCGGTGTGCGGACTGCGCAGGTTGCGCATGCCTGCATATTATTGTACGCATTCTTGTTGTTTTGCCTTCTTCCTGAGACTCTCCTTGGAGTAAGACTAAAAATAATCTGTCCTCTGAGTGTGGCGTACGTGTGATGCAAGACATAAGAGAGTAATCGGAAGGGCTATCGTCGAGGCATAAAAAAAACCCGACGACATCTGTAACGACCAAGTGTCACCGGATATGGCCAAATAATTACCCATTTCGCTCAAAGTTGCTCCTCTTTTCAATGCGTGGACTTCGTTCGCCCACTATGATAGTTTGGTCTAGTAGTTTTTTGGATATTGGGCAAATTTTAAATAGACTAAAATACGCACTGAAACAAGGTACAAGAACGAGGGGTGACTGCTGCCTGCAACAACACAGCACAGCCAAACCAACTGTGTTCGCACATCGATCCAAGTTACTGAAAAACCGGGAATTTTCGGTGGTGTAATATCGTCGGTATTTCCCAAAATCAACGGCTCGGTAGCGCGAAAATTTCGGTTAACCAGTTTTCAAGATCCAAAAATAATGCATTCTGCACACTGTGTGGCAGTGGCTTGTTGGATTTTAGGTCGCGTTTCATTTTAGGTATAAACACCTGTACCAAAGTTAAATAAATCTCCGCCGAAATTGTCCGGTTGTACAGTACCCAGTAATGTGTAGCCATCCAACTTTCCACTGGCGACTTGCTGAATCCATCGAACAAATCGATGAATTCAACCTGTCCAATGGCGGTCATTACGAAGGCCATCTTCAAGGGCCAGTGACAGAGAGGCTACGTCCTGAGATTTAGGGTAGACCACCACCATAGTCTGCTCCAACATGTCCCCAAACGCCAACAAAATGGTCTTGAATAAAGTGGTCCACTAGTCGATGTGGAGAGAATAGCCGTAAAATAGCTATGTTTTAAAATACCTATGAACAACATTAAACTCGCTCATGTCAATCAACAAAGTAGCAAAGAATTAGTTCCAGAATGTGTTCTTGTCACATTTATCAATGGAATCTCGTGACTGAAAGAAAATCGATAATCAGCACGGACTGCGCAGGTTGCGCCACTGCACGCATGCGCATAATATATTGTACCACAGACATTCTTGTCTGGCTGCTTTTCCTGAAACTCTCCTAGGAGCTAAGTCGAATGCGTTCTGTCCTGAGGTGTGTGATGATTGTGCGACCGTGAATGTGAGAGATCGGAGAAGCACATCGTCGAGACAAACAACTACCCGATGACAATTGGCGCCCAACGTGTCAGTCAGTAGAGCATGAGACTTGATCTCAGGGTAAGGGGTTCGAGCCCCATGTTGGGCGCACGGACACAGCGCCAAAAGAGGATCTCATAGACGCCACGGATAACATTGACTCTTTTTAATAGTACAGTCCTCCTCAATGAAATCCAGTCGCGTCAGTCAAGTTTGCGCCTTGCATCATTTCGCAGCCCAGTGTTCGCAGGTCTTGGGCTGCGCAACGCCCAGCGCATACTTGAGTGAGGCGACTGAATTTCATTGAGCAGCACTGTAGTAGAACCTGCAACAGCAGCAGCTCCAAGAGTTGCAGCAACCACAGCAGCAGCTCTAGGAGTTGCAGCAACCACAGCAGCAGCTCCGGGAGTTGCAGCAACCACAGCAGCAGCTCCAGGAGTTGAAGCAACCACAGCAGCAGCAGTAGCAGCAGCAACAGCAGCAGCAGTAGCAGCAGCAACAGCAGCAGCAGTAGCAGCCACAGCAGTAGCAGCAACCACGGCAGCAGCATCCACAACGGCCACAGCAGTAGCACCAGCCGCAGCAGGAAGAGGAGCAGCACCAGCAGTCATACACACTGTGGAGTCGTATCATCTTCCATCACCACTCGTATCTCATTCTGTTGTGGTATGTTATTTTGTGTACGTCGTGTGTACGTCATGTTGGTGCATGCGTGTGTTGCTGTGGTGTGAAAAGCAGTTTCCGTCTTGAGCTCGTCATGTCTTCGTCTCGAGTTCGTCATGTCTAGTTGTGTTTCCGTCGTCTTGTCACAAATATAGTCTTCTAAATGTAGTTATCGTCGTCCCTTTGTATAAGTGTGGAGATGGCACGGGACTGGGAGCAGGTGGAGAAAAGGCAGGTACAACATTGGTGGCAGCGGTGATGGAAATTGTTGTAAATGTCAACTCCTGGATTCGTCCTGCGTGGCCTTCGCTCCCAGTTTCCGATGTCATCTCCAGTCGTCCTATCGTCACAGTTTTGTCCGTCTTGAAGAAGTTCGTCCGTCGCCCTCGTCCTTCATCATTCGTCTCTCCCGTCTCTTGGCAGTCGTCATCACTGGTGGTCCCGGACACGACGTAAAACTGTGCCCAGAAGAAAAACTGAAAAAAACAGAAGGATGGAAGGTGAAGACAAGAGGCTGCAGTGTGAGGATGTCGACGCTGAGCAGCGCTCCTTGAGATGGCGGACGACATGGCAGACGGCGTGAGGAGTTTCGTTGGTGAGAGGGTACGTGTGTTGTTGTGAACGTGATGAGTATGTGAGTTTTGTATTTTCTGTTCTCCCAACATTTTGTTCTTTATTATTTGCTCTCCTCGAGGGTAAAGAAGCGCCCGCACAGCGCGTGTGTTCTGTTCGTTTTTTGATTTGCTCTTCTATGAGGATAACTAGAGGCCCCCACAGAGCCAGTGGATTTTGTTCTTTTTGTTATTCTTATGATTTGTGCTCTCACATTTTAGAATGTTTGCGTGATCGTGAGGTGGTGTGTTGAGTGAAGTAGGTTAAGAGTTTTTGAGGTTATCAGTTCCTACACATGTGACAGCGATCGTGGCTGGTGTTCTGGATGGGCGGACAGAGTTTTTTTTAATAATCTGCAGTGCAGGCAGAGAGGTATTTTATTCCCGTAGCTATGCAGAAGACGTTACTTCAGTAACGTCTGGCGCTAGCCAGGGTCCACACAGCTTTAATTTGGTGTCTGTGTGTTTGTGTCACGCCTGGCGCTATCCCGTATCTGTCCCGTACCGTACCGTACCATCAAACACAGCTGGCCACATACAGCTGGCCGCACTATTCAAATAGGGCTTTCAAACGCAAGATCATAACGTGAAGCAACTTGGAAGAATGAGTATGAATGCGAAGTGTATGGAGGAATGTATGTAGGGCGATAGTGCGGGTTCGAATCCCAGGTAATGCCTGAAAAAAATAGGAGAATTGAAAAATTTATAACATCCCTATTCTTTTTTTGCCGTCATCAAGGCGGTAGATGGTGTCGTATTACCCTCGACCGTACCTGTCCCGTACCGTACCGTACAATCAAACACGGCTGGCCACAATGCATATTCAAATACGGCTTTCAAATACAAGATCATAATGTGAAGCAACTTGGAAGAATTAGTATGTATGCGAAGTGTATCGGGGATGCATGCAGGGCGATAGTGTGGGTTCGAATCCCAGGATATGTCTAAAAACAAAAAGTAGAAATTTATAAGAATTTATAACACCCCTATGCTTTTTTTGTCTAGGTCTTCAAGGCAAAAAAGCATAGCGTAGGGCCCTGAGCTTCCAAGCTCTCTTTCTGGGTGTGACTGGTGTGGTATGACTGAGTGATTTGTGCGATCTTTTCCTCTTTTTCCTCTGTTTTATTACTAGAATCGAGGACGATTCCACTCTTGGGAGGGAGTTATGTTGTAGTACGTTATTTTGTGTACGTCGTGTGTACGTCATGTTGGTGCATGCGCGTGTTGCTGTGGTGTGAAAAGCAGTTTTCGTCTTGAGTTCGTCATGTCTAGCAGTAGCACCAGCCGCAGCAGGAAGAGGAGCAGCACCAGCAGTCGTACACACCGTGGAGTCGTATCATCTTCCATCACCACTCGTATCTCATTCTGTTGTGGTATGTTATTTTGTGTACGTCGTGTGTACGTCATGTTGGTGCATGCGTGTGTTGCTGTGGTGTGAAAAGCAGTTTCCGTCTTGAGCTCGTCATGTCTTCGTCTCGAGTTCGTCATGTCTAGTTGTGTTTCCGTCGTCTTGTCACAAATGAGCCCGAGCGCGCTAAAACATGACCACAGCTTTTTTTTGAAAAAGTCGAGATATTCTCGAATTGAATTCCGCGGCAAAAAATACGAAGTGCAGTGCAACGCGAGTCGCTGTTGTTGTTCTCCTCGGTCGACTGGACTGTTCCGGATGCAATTCTTTGTTGCAAGTAAGTTTATTTGTTTGAGTTTGTATTCCATGTTGCGCTGAGTCGCCTAAAACTGATCGTCATCGATGTATCGACAGAAGAGCCTAGTAGTAGTAATGTACTGCGGAGCGGAAGAAGACGACATCATCGCACTCCATGCGCAGGATAAAATATTTTGAGAATTCGGGTCGGAAACAGAAGGAAGACGATGATGGCTACAGCGACGAGTCATTTGAGGGCGACACTTTCATCGAGCGTAAAAAGAATTGATGCTGGTAGTCCCACGATCTGCAGTGACGAGGAATTCTACTCTGATGACAACCTGGCAAGCGATTGGCATCGACACTGACTTGGGAGGTGAGTCGGCCGATGATTTGGCCAGAATGGACATCGCTGCACATATCCGGGACAATGCCAGTATTGGTTGCAAGTGCAAAAACAATCAATGGACTCTGCTGCTCCCTCAACTTGCTCAAGTCGATAATTTGAGTACCCTTATGCGGAACATCGCTAGCATGAGCAGTATGCAGCGAAAGCAGTACTCTCTGGCGAGTGGAGAAAACCGTGTGCAGATGGGCTTTGGTGTGGGGAATATGAGTGCGACGTCTAGTATGTCGAGGAAAACTGTGTGCAGCAGTGTATACTGTATATCTGAAAGTACAGGTGGAGTGTGATGGAGAGGACATGGAGTGCCAACTTCTTCGGCCATCTACAGATGTTGACCGTGTTTTCGCTGGCGGTTCTCCAGTGGTGCTCCAAACAGGAGGTATTTCGGACACCCAGCTCAGCTGCCTATAGACAATTTGGTATTTTGGATGTGGCTGAGTACCTGTCAGCTCATGCTATAAGACTCTGGACAGAGGAACTGACCCGGAAAGGATGAACCAAGGGGCATATCAATTGTGTGCAAAAATGACAATCCCATTGCTGTACATAGAATTTCACCATTTCAACAGTGCTGCATATAATACCATTGTAGCCACACTTAGAGATGTCCAATCAATCCAAAACTTTCAGACAGTGAACATTAGGTGTGTTAGATCATTTTTGAACAAAAAACTGAAAATCGAATTTTTGGTCTGTGGTCATATTTTAGCGTGCTCTGGCTCAAATATAGTCTTCTAAATGTAGTTATCGTCGTCCCTTTGTATAAGTGTGGAGATGGCATGGGACTGGGAGCAGGTGGAGAAAAGTGAGTTACAGGTGGAATCCTGATAATTCGAATATGGCTTAATTCGAACATACCGCTTAATTTGAAGTTTTTCCAGGACCGATTTCTATCAATACGATTCCCGCATAAAATTTCTGATAATTCGAACCTTGAACTGGACATGTACGGTTAATTCGAAGTCCCACAGATTCCACTTACATAGAAAATGTGTGAGATTTGTGCTGATAATTCGAAGTTAGCAAAGTGTAATTCGAAGTTCACTGTACACTGTACTGGTCAGTTCAGTTTGCATGAGCAGGCTGTGCCGGTCAGTTCAGTGTCCGTAAATTTGTGTCTAAGGTCCATAGCGCAACTCTGCGTGACCATGAGAGCATTTTGACATACATATTGAGTTGTGGGTTCATGTTTGGATAATTAGAATGTCCGGATAATTAGAAGTTTTTCCCTGGCATTTTGAGGTTCGAATTATCAGGATTTCACCTGTACAACAATTCCATATTCTGACATTTAACATATGCCCGGGCCTCAACCAGAGAAAATAGCCCTTAGGGTCAAAACGTTCAAGATTCCATTTTTGCTAAGAATTTGTTGAAACACATCTGCTGAAGGACCTCAGCCAGGAAGGCATTCTTGCAAGGTATTCGATTACAAGAGTGTCGATTATCCACGCTCTCTAATCCGAACCCCTCGGCATGCAGGGCTTTCTTCAGAGGGTTTGGATGAGAAGTATGTTCATATACGGGACACGACACTCACTCACATCAAACATGCGATCTTTGTCGCTCATGGTTACTCCTCGTCACCAATTGCAAGTAGAGAGCTCAGCTGCCATCTCTCACCGCAGTCACCCACACTCACCTGCAACAGAATAATCTACTTACAATGATTTCAAGCCAGTAAAGTGATACTTCTTTTCACTCCCACTTAAAGGAACTAGACCAGTCTCGTTGATAATTCTGGATATAAGAAAGAAGGAGAGAGAAAGAGAGAAAGAGAGAGAGAGAGAGAGAGAGAGAGAGAGAGAGAGAGAGAGAGAAAGGGAGAGAGAGAGAGAGAGACGGAGGCGGAGACGGAGGGAGAGAGAGAAAGAGAGAGACGGAGACGGAGACATAGACGAAGACGGAGGCATAGACGAAGACGGAGACGAAAGTCAGAATGTCCATCAACTATAGAAGAGCACATGTGTCACGCCCCAGGACACGAAGACTGCTGCCTGATGCAGGATCTTCTTAGTGAGCAGCTCTGTTTCGAGCTGTCACGACCTTTTGGTACAGTATGGTCAGGCTAGTGTTTTTCCCAAGTGCTTGTTCTTGTTGTTGAATACTTTATTTATAGTGAATCAAAACAGGCATATTAAATGCCAAATAACATTGTTTACAAAAGGGTTGTGATGAGGCACTCCGGCTCGAAGGACCAATTTACAAAAGGGTTGATTGTAAGAATGCTTTGGCTCAACGCGAGCACATCTTGGGCTCTCTTAGTTCACAGGATAAAACTGTAACTCATCATTAGACAACGTAATGAAAAACCAAATAACCAGAGGACGACACGAGGAGACAAGCCCCGGAAAAACAGGCTAGAAAACCGTAGGTCGTACATGAATGCCATGGGAACGTCGTAGGCGTGCCATAGCGCAAAATTTAAGTAAAATACTTCAGAAGACATGATAGAAAGAAAAAAATGAAGACTGTATAATCAATTGCTTGTATGCTTGTATGTATGCTTGGTGCGAACCATTAGTTTGTGACAATACTTATTCATGCAATATGTAACAAGCATGCAATATCTAACAAGCATGCAATATTCCACACATTGGACCCACTCTCTGCTTGCCACGGAGGTTGGGCGACACATGCTGTCTCATGCCAGTGACATGCCTTATCGGCATGGCACATCATGTGATCCAACGCCGGAACCCGGCTGGGACCAGGTGACGAAAGTCCAGGTGCAACACTCACTCTCCACTGAACCTATCGTTCATGACCGTTCACATAATAGTAAGAAAGAAGAAATCCCGCAGTAAAAAAGTGACTCCTACTTTGTAGACAGATAGAAAAACTTACAAGTTGTGAAGATTAAAATCAAGCCCGTCGAACAAATCGTTAGGTAAGCGCCGCAACGGACGGCTTGATAGAGAGCTAAACAAAGAGAAAATTCATTAAAAATAGAACAAATTCAGTAGCCTGTCAGTTTTGTGCTCTATTATCGCATTTTCTGATTGCTTATCATCGTGTTACAGTCGTGTTACAGTCGTGGATAGTTGCTGCATAACTCGTTCTCATGTGTTTCTTCTCATTTTTACATTTATTACTGGCTCAGCATCCGGGTTTTAAAAAATTGAGTCAGTTACTTTTTAAGAACACAGGGCCTGCCGTAATAGGTTAGAGAGCAACACTTCTTCCTATGGGTCCACCTCAGGATGAGAATCTGTCAGCCGTTTGCTGCAAATGAACACCATGGTACATCAATCAAATTTCCCGTTGTGTGTGATACAGTACCGGCGGGCGCCGGAGAACGGAGCGCCAAAGAACGAACAGGCTTCGCAAAGCACAACATACCAATGTGTATACGGTGACTCAACTCTGCATAAACTATATGAGCCGTGATCGGCAAAAACAGCCCCACAGGTCAATTCTTTCAGAATTGGTTTTCTACTGAAAATTGTTTGTATTTGACGGTCATGTACACAAAGTTTGAAGCGGATTGGACGAGGGTAAGTGAGTAAAAAACGGATCGAAAGGACACACACTCTAGGTGAAATTACGTGCAAATATCCAAAAAAGTGTCGTCAACTAAAAGAGCGACAAACTACTCTACTCAACGCGACCATGACGACAAATACATAGATGATCAGTGGTTGTCTCTGCATAGAAAGTCGCTCCAGCAGCATTAGCATGTTGAAGATCACCATCCTGCGTTGTCGATGTAAACACCTCTGCTCCTGGTCCACTTTGTTAGCTAGTTTTTTTTTGGGGGGGGGGGAGGGCAGGTAGTCAGTCACAGCTATTTCTGAGTTGGCGTCAACCGCTGTGTCGAGACCGAAATAACTGGTCCTCTGCTTCGAGTAGTCTTTGCTTGGCCTCATGAACTCCAGGAAATTCACTGTTGCAACGACGGGCTATTCTAACTACCAACTCAAAAAATAATTATGATACGTAGGGAATACATGAGCGACTGGCATCTGCAAGGATCCATCTCCTTTCTTCTTTGAAAAGGACTATTTCAGTGCCACTTTACAAAAACGTGATTTTCTCCATTTTTTTCGGCCAAAGCTATAGGTCGGATTTAGCCGATCACGGCTCATATTATAGTACTACCTCTGACAAGCGAAACTTGGCGCGTTTTTTTGATTTTTTGTGTTGGTAGACCTACCACAACTAATTACTTCACAAGGCTGTGAGGTACGACCTACAGTTATAAGTTGTAGCTCCATGCAACCGGGTGCAGGAAGCCAAGCGACGAGCTAGTGAGTGGCACATGGCTCAGACTTGGTCAGAGGCAAGCCAGTCTCTCGTGTACCAGCAAAACAGTGCGCGCGTCCATTCTGCGAAGGAGAATCGTCGTGCTTTCGCGTTGCAATGGAAAACCAAGGAGTTCTCTCTCTCCACTTGGTCACTCCGCCAGCACATAGTCCATACGTCCATGCCAAACAATCCTAGCGTCTTTCAATAGCCACCAGAGCGATGCGTCTCTGGTGGCTAAGGAAAATCGCCAGGAATTGCTGCAGGCAATTTTGGACAGTTGGCGAGAAAACCCGGCAAAACAGTTGGAGTCCAGGCACTTGTGGAGGTGTTGCACAGTTCATACCACGTCAACCTGGATAGTGGCGGCGGAAACGACTACCCTCGGCACCGTGGCTCGAGCACAGCACCCAGGAGCGACATCGAGATTTTCAGAGCGATTACAACAGAGGTACTTGCTGCAACTGAATCCGCTCTAGTCGCACTTCCGTCTCAAAACAGGAACAATTCCTCTCCAGACGAAACTGCGATCTCTGAATCAGAGGAGAGTGATTCAGCCGAACAGATGTCTCCAATGTTCTTGTTGAGCGATACAAAGTTGAATTTTGGTGAGTCGATCATTAGTTTTGATTGTAAAGTGTGAGTTATTTCTAGTAATTTGAAGTAAAAAAACGCGCCAAGTTTCGCTTGTCGGAGGTAGTACATGAATAGGAATGGCCTAGGCTACGAGGCTGACTCCGCCAGTTCTTCGGCGACCGACAGTGCTGTAGTATCGTCACTATCGTGCCATCAGCCAGCTACATCGTAGATTGGCAGTCGGACTATGCTGAATCAGGTTCTTGACATTTTACCAGGCTGATATTTCTTTTCTGAAATGAGGTGGAGTGGCCAGCGCGTACACGTGGATTAGCTCTTTGAGGACGAAGAACGAGTACAATCAGACCTCGCTTATCCGGTCCTCTTTTATCTGGATCCCTCGCAATCCGGAAGAAAATCGCTGGTTACCGATTTACAGCATAAGCCATGCATGCATGCAGTGTGTGTGTTTGATCATCCAGTTCCCTCGCCTATCCGGATATTGTTTGTGGGAAACGGATGTGTGCGGTTTAACGAGGTCTGACTGTATACACATTGAAGTTGTTTATTCTTTATTTAGAGTGGGAAGTCCAAAACAGGCCGTAGCCTAATAACAATGGTCCCACTAGTGAGGGAATGCTGTATACCTGTGCATAAGGATCAGTGAGTGTAACAGCAACTAGTAGGGAAAGAAAAAGAGAGAAGAAAAACAACTCAAAACAGGAGTTGCGACTTGCATAGGAAGAAAATAATGGAAAGAGCAGTGCATGAAGTGCACCTGGATTCTTGAAGACGAGTATACTCGTTTGCAATTTTGCAGTCCGTGCTGTACATATGCATCACTGTACAAATTTTCATAACTTAACCCTTTAACAGCCACAGGAAAATTTCAAAATTCTGCATTTTTTCGTGTTCCTTGGATCATAGCTTCAGTTCTACTCACTCAATCCTCACAATCTAGAGCTTCCTGGAAAGGTCTCCGCGAGAGGAAGAGACTGAGGTTGATCATGATCGCCAGCACACCGTCTATCCAGCGCTAGATCGCAGCGACAGTACGAAAAATGCCCCAAATGCGTCCAATTGCGTCCCGCTCCAGATATTTCATTTTGCTCGATCGTGGAGTTCCAATTTTTTCGCTGTGTACTCTTGACAATATCAGCAGTGAAACCTGTGCAAATTCGAGTAAACCTAGCGTGACAAAAAGTCTCAAAATTCTCAATACTAAAGTCGCACTGCGCGCTTTTGAAATTGCCACGATCGCGGCTCAACTTACGTGTGATTTATCTCAGGAACCGTTGCTTACAGCGCTTCGCGGATTGTTTCTCTCGACAGGTGAGAGTTTTCTCTTCGCCCTGGATATTTTGATCACTGGATTTGAGCGAGATTGGACTGAGTTACGATCTGTTGAAGTTTTGCATTCAAGTATGGGGCGGCTCTTAAAGGGTTAACTCCATTGTCCTTTCTTCGATTGCTCGTTGGAAAGCTAATAGAACAAGCTCTCCAACGAGGTGTCGTTCGACATGGCGTGATGAAGAATCACTGAGAGCCAAAGAGCGAAACACGAACACTCTTGAATTTGTGCTCAAATTCCGTGCGTAGCGAGCGGCAGTGCTCAAACGGGGACATTCCCTGTGACTTATTGTTGCATGGAGAATGCGTAATGAGGACCAAATGAATCGCTCGAGCTTCAGGAATCTGCAAGACTTTGAATCACCGTTCTACATTTAGTAAATCTTCAGAAAGGGTGAAATTTATGGAAGTGGGTAGAGTACCTCTTTTAGGCACAGTAGGGCAGCTCTAAAAGGGCATGAAGGCAAATCTGCTGCTCCTGTTGGGTATCTATCGGTGATAGTTGGACAGAGGGGATCTGTAGCTAAGGCAAATCTGCTGCTCCTGTTGGGTATCTATCGGTGATAGTTGGACAGAGGGGACATGTAGCTTTCCAAAGACACCAAGATGAAGAAATTTCAAAGCTGGTCAGTGAAAATACATAATTTTCAAATCCATACGGGGACGTACTGGGACTGGTGCGTGCCTCTGTGCGTACCCTGTGGGAATCCAGGTATTTCATGGCACTAGTAGTCCTCAAAGGGGCAATTAACGCGGAATACATTCACACGACTCATAACGGCCACTCACAAGTTTGTCAGACGTTGCTGGCCACCGAGAAGTTGGCTAGGCAGACGAGTGGCAGATAATGTCAATTGCCTGCACAAACAAGAGAAGGGAGAGAATGGCGTGCATGCTTTCAGGTCAATTGGAAGTGTGCAATTCGGTTGTTTAGATATACTTTACTTTGTAAATGTAACGGACGGACAAAGAAATTAAGAGCATTCTAGTCTTCTCGACATTGAACTGGTCCAACTTGGTCCACGAAGGCTGAAAAACAACCATTTTTGAGGTATTTGCAATTTGGGCGCTAATTGGACCTTGTGCCTGTGGCAATCGGCATGTGAAGACAAAGTGAGCTTTGAGGCCCATAGTACGAAAACATCGAAAATATCCGTGCCTCGGCGCAGTGCGTACTTTTCTAGTGTCTACTGCCAGGTACACTGCTAATGCACGACGGGTACGAGACCCCATCGGTAGCATGCAAATTATACAAATTTAAAATGGTCGTAATAACGTTGCTCAAAAGAGGGGTGCGCATTTTACTCAGGTGCACGTTATACTCCGGCAAATACGGTAAGTAATTGGCCTCGCGTAGCAATGCATTCCCTGAAACAGTCTGGGGCCCTTTACCGACAAAACTCAATGTATAGAGAATTGTACCCTTGAATTCCATTGCATTGTACACCACCCAACAAGCACTTACATGTTCTTGAGCGAAGCGGCCGCAAAGAAACTCTGTGAAATTGTAGTGGCTGAACAGTCCAACTCCCTGAAAAAATACACAGAAGAGAGACATTCAATAGTTTTGGGAGGGAGAGAGCGAGAGAGGTATGGAGGGAAGGAGGGAGGGAGGGAGAGAGAGGGAGGGAGGGAGGGAGGGAGGTGAAAGTCCAACTTGGTGCACTTCAACATTAATAACTATAACTCAAGAATGGCTGGGCCGATTTGAATAATACTTGCATATTGCCTATGTTACGCCCAGGAGAATCGAATGAGACCAAAATCGAAGTGATCGAAGCAAGGGTTTTGAAAACTGGATGTAGTCACTACTGTAAGGTGTGTACTGTAAACCATGTAATTTTGGGTGTATTAAAATTTCGGTATCAGCCGTCACTACCAGGGACCTGCCAGGTTTCAAGTTTAATGTGGAATTAGGTGACCAGCATTCCCTTCACATACTGTGGTGTCGTTTAGGTATAATCTAAATTTAGGTGCTTGCTTTCACTACCGAAATCACCGAAATTAAAGTTACACCGAAAATATCGTGTTTTACAGTATTGGCAAGAGTACATGAAAACCAGAGTGTGCAGCGCGGGGCCTTTTCTGCTATGGGTGTCTTCTCACGGCGGAATTCCGTGATTACATCATATTTGGCGCAGATCTGAGGCGGGAAATGGCGTAGTGGGTACAACTGAGCTGCAGTTGTGCAGAAAGAGACCTGCCTGAATCCTGCTTGTACGCACTACATCACTAAAATGATGTAATTACGGAATTCCACCGTGACAGCAACCCATCCGAGCGGCACACTCTGGTTTTCATGTACTCTTGCTATAGGTGATAGTTGGACAGAGGAGATCTGTAGCTTTCCAAAAGAGACCAAGATGAAGACATTTCAAAGCTGGTAAGTGAAATTACATAATTTTCAAATCTGTACCGGGACGTATTGGGACTGTTGCACGCCTCTGCGCGAACCCTGTAGGAATCCATCATGTTGTGGCCGTCCTCAAAGGGTTAACAAGGAGTTCAATGCGCAGCATTAGCTGAATGTGAAATTTGAACTTGTATACCATACTTCACCAAATATAAGCTGCACCTTGTTACACTAAACTTCAAGGGCAACGAAAGGGTTAGAGGATGGGTATGTTGCGAAATTCTGTTCGACTCTTATTTATGCATGTTGTTGTATTTGGTTCTTGTCTCGTAGAGTCCAGTGTCTGACGTCATAGATGGTCTAAGTATACGTGCGAGTATGGTGTGATCATGACGTTTATGGTATGTGGTGCATGCAAGAGTACGCGTTGTCAGAGTGTGAGAATCTGCTTCCGTCTGTGTGAGAGTGATTGTCAAGTGAATGTTGCGCACGCGCAGTGCTAGTTTGGTCTGAGAATGAGAGTGATGTGTGATTCGTCCGTGGTCTGGTTGTCTTGGTCTTGGTCATGTGTTCTGTAGGTATTGGTCTCTGATTGGTCGTCTCGATTTGTCGACGCTTTATCACTGCTAGTTCTTTGTTTCTCTTCGTGTCTTTTTCCCATTGTCTTTTTGGTTCAGTCTTGTCTTTCTCCTCCTGCGCCCCCTACAAGTTTATTATTGTGAGAATTGCTTGTGAGAAGCTAACAGATCTGTGCTTTGTCGTGTGGCGGGGCCAGGGGGGGGGGGGAGAAGGAAATAACACAAACCTTCTTGGTTTCAGGTATGTGCTCGTCGCTGTTTGGTCGCATGCCCTGATGGAGAGGATTCGAATGACTGCTCACAGCGTGAAACTCACAGCCGTTGTCTGTTGACCGTGTGGGGTTGAACTTAGGCCCATGGTTGGCCAACAAGTGTAGCTGGGCTAGTCTATCATGAATACTGACAGGCTCTGCATCGCTGCTCATTGACTTCCGGCTCCGATCACTGAGCACAGGGATGCAATATTTCCATACAGGTCCTATACAGGCCTCACATCAGTCGTGCTGAATGACTTGATCACAGACATTTTTGCAAACGAACGTTGATCCAAACCAATGGGTTCAAAACTACATGATTGCCTCCCTCTCATCCCCTCACCTCACTCGGATTTCCTAGTCCCTCTCTCATCTCCCCTCCTCTCCCTCCCCTCTCCTTTCCCTACCTCCCGCCCTCTTCCCTTTCGCTTTGCTTCGCTTCACTTCACTTCCCTTCCCTTCCCTTTTCCTCCCTGTAGTAACTGGCCTTTCTCCACCTGCTCCCAGTCCCGTGCCATCTCCACACTTATTCCAAGGAACGACGATGACTACATTTAGAAGACTGTTTATTGACACGACGAAGAAACACAACTAGACAAGACGAACTCAAGACGAAGACTACTTTTTACACTACAGCAACACGCGCATGCGCAAACATGATTGTACACGCGACGTACACAAAATAACGTACTATACGGTAGAAAGTCCGTCTACTACACTGCCCCCCTCTCAAATAATTTTCCGTCCTCGGAAAACAAACAAGAACATGACACAAAAATTAATGTATACACTGCTGCCTCCTCAAAAGGCTGAATCGTTCCTGATTCAAAAAATAATAACAGAAGAAAAATAGATCACACTAGCCACGCGAGCATACCACACCAATCACCCAAAAATGTATCGCAGCAAAACACAGCAGCCAGAGACCATCTGCCATTCACGCAGGACCTGATAACACAAAACCCTGTCTGCCCACCAACCAGACCTTCAGCTCACGCGCTGGAACACAATCGTGGGAAATGCATACAACATCACACTCGCGCCACCTCACCAATCACGCAAAAATTCTAAAATGTAAGAGGACAAAATAATAAGAAGAGAGTAATAAAGTAAAACCCACGAGCTGCGATCTGTGGAAGCGGCTTTAGTACTCATCATCTCGGATGAAGAGCAAATAAGAAAATGGCCCTCGTCCTCAAGGAGAGCAACTGATAAATAAACGAAAAAAATTGAGGAGAACAGCAAATACAAAACTCACGCCGTCTACCATGTCGTCCGCCATCTCAAGGAATGCTGCTCAGCGTCGACATCCTCACTTCTGGGCAGTTTTACGTCGTGTCCGGGACCATCCATCCTTCTTTTTCTTTTCCTTTTCTTCTGGGCACAGTTTTACGTCGTGTCCGGGACCACCAGTGACGACGATTGACAAGAGACGGGCGAGACGAATGATGCAGGACGAAGACGACGGACGAACTTCTTGGTGCTCTGACGATAGGACGACTGGAGATGACATCGGAAACTGGGAGCGAAGGCCACGCAGGACGAATCCAGAAGTTGATTTTGACAACAATTTCCATCACCGCTGCCACCAATGTAGAAACTGGCCTTTCTCCACCTGCTCCCAGTCCCATGCCATCTCCACACTTATTCCAAGGAACGACGATGACTACATTTAGAAGACTGTTTATTGACACGACGAAGAAACACAACTAGACAAGACGAACTCAAGACGAAGACTACTTTTTACACTACAGCAACACGCGCATGCGCAAACATGATTGTACACGCGACGTACACAAAATAATAGTGTTGAAACGAGCGTATCTATAACAAACGAGCAATCAGTTCCACTAACGAGCAAGCTATCGAGCGAGCTAACGAGTTTCCTTGATGTGGCAAATAATTATGATTATTTTTTTGAATAATTTTTTTCTAAGTAATTAGTTCGATTTTTTTCAGCTGGTTCAAATTATCACCGCCGGCATTTGGGGTTGCTGCTGCTTCACTTCGGACTGCTGTTTGGTGTCGAGATGTCTTTTCAGCGCCGTCGTCGATTAGCCTTTGTAAGAATAGACCGTTTTGCAAAGATTGCAAGTAGCCCTGGTCTTCGCTGCATCGCGGGAGAAAACTTCCAAACGACTGAGCGTAACTTTCACTCGAATGCAGAGGTGATCGAAGCATATCCTGCGACAGGTCAGCAGATGCGGAACAAGACATCAGTAGAGTCCACCAAAGCTGCAACGACAACTGAAACAACTCAAGTGTCGTGCAGGCATACAGTCACCTGTAACTGCGAGTGATTTTCACTTTGCGCGGGATCGGGACTGGACTCTCGATCGATCAGGGAGTCGTAAAATATGTTACGACTCCCCCGTCGACATGTATGTTATAGATTGATCTATTATTAATATTAGTCGTACGATCTACGATCTACGTTCTGCTACGTGTGTCGTTCTACGTGTGTTCTACGTGTGTCGTTCTACGCTCCTTTGATGCATGCATGACGAAGAGTAACAATGTCTTACCTCATTAAGAATCAGTCTTCTTCTGCATTACGTCTGCATGGCTGACGTGTGTCTTACTTTGGTACGAGCTGACGAGGCCTATACTGTCGTGTCATAGCGCCATTAGTGCCACGACAGCACTTACGTGTCTCTGCTGCTTATCTCTCGATGATTGCCATTTTACATGTTCACTTCTAAATTATCCTAGAACAAACCAGATGGTGTTTCCTGCTGTGGTATACGCGAGTTGCATGGAATGAATCTTGCGTGCGTACGTTATAACAATTGGCGACGAAGATGAGCGTTTGTAGTAACCTGAGCACAGCCCACAAGCTTCCAGTTTTCGAATACCGGGGCACGCCAGCAGAAGTGTCCTCTCGCTGGAAGAAATGGCTACGAAGCTTTACGTACATGGCTGAAGGACAAGGGATTACGGATCACAAACGGCTGAAAAATTTATTGCTGCATACTGCCGGAACACAGGTTCAGGACTTATTCGAAGACCTCGAAGATCCACAGGCGTCGGCCCTGCCTGCGGATGACAACGAGTACAAGGTTACGTTACGGAAACTGAACGAACATTTCAAGGCCGCGCCACATCCTGTATACGAGCGTCACGTGCTGCGCCAGATGACCTTTGCTAAGAATGAGTCGGTGAGTCAGTTTGTTGTAAGATTACGCGTCCAGGCCCGCTTGTGTGATTTTGGTTCCGCTTGTGACGACATGATTCGAGACCATGTGGTGTCATGCATTGTGAATGTCGAGTTGAAAAAGAAGTTGTTATCAGATCCAAAACTAACTTTGGGTACGTGTCTAGAAATTGCAGCTTTGTTTGAGGCAACCCAGCAACAAGCGTCGTCTATGGGTTCCGCTGCTGCTATGAGTACGCCATCAGAAGTCCACGGTCTCTCTCGTAAGCACTCGGTGTCGCAGAAACAACAGAAACAACATTTCAAGTCGTCAGGTAAAACGGATCGTGCACGTAAACCTGAGAGAGTGTCTGTTTCTGCTTCTACTTCCTCTGAGCGTCTCTGTTTTAGGTGTGGCAAGGCTGGTCATTTCGGTCGGGATCCGAGTTGCCCGGCGCGTGGCAAAACCTGCAGCAAGTGTCAGCGTCGTGGGCATTTCGCTTCCTGCTGCAATTCGCAGTCGACGTCCCACATTTCGTCCGAGCCAGAGTCACTGTTCGACTCTTTCAGCATTGGGGCTCTCACCGACGATGTGTCACCTACAGATAAGTGTCAACCTAAGTCTAAGTCTCATCCTCCCATGATGGTTGATGTATGCGTTAATGATGTAGTCTGTCCTATGGAAGTCGACACTGGTGCTGAAGTTTCAGTATTCCCTAGTTCTGTTTGGAAGGAGCAGTTTCCCAATGTTTGTCTGCATAAGTCTCGTGCGTCTCTGCATTCGTATGGTGGTAGTTCCCTATCTGTAGTGGGTGAATGCATTGTCGATGTACGTTACGAGTCTCACCAGTTTCGAGACACCATCATTGTTGTAGAGGGTAGTGGTCAGCCCCTGTTTGGTCGGAACTGGATGTCCCACGTCATTATAGACTGGTCAAATTTTCGTAATGCACAGGTCAATGCATTGTCGCTAGATAGTCTATTGCGTCAGTTCCCTACCGTATTTCAAGAGGGTTTGGGTACCATTAAGGGTCAGTCTGCCAAGATCCAGCTTCAAGGGTCACCCACCCCCAAGAGTTGCCGTTCCCGTCCTGTCCCGTACGCCGTCCGCACTAAGGTTGAAGCTGAGTTGTTGCGTCTAGAGGGGGAGGGGATCATCAAGCCGGTCTCTAACGCTGATTGGGCATCCCCCGTGGTGGTTGTAAAAAAGAAAAACAACACCATCCGCTTATGTGCAGATTTTAAAGTGTCTATCAACAAGCACATTGAAGCTAACCAACATCCCATTCCCAACCCGAGTGATTTGTTATCGCAATTATCTGGTGGATCTGTATTTTCCAAATTAGATCTCAGCCAAGCTTATGCTCAGCTACCGCTCGACGACGACAGTAGGCGCTATTGTGTCATCGCTACGCACAAGGGTTTGTACGAATTCACGAGACTACCCTTCGGCGTCAGCTCAGCTCCGTCAATCTGGCAGAAGGCCATCGAGCAGGTGCTACAAGGTCTAGAAGGTGTCGTTGTCTATTTCGACGATATTCTCATTTGTGGTAACACCCAGCAACAACACGACGAGCGTCTACGAGCAGTCCTCCGTCGTTTCGCTGAGACAGGGCTGCGGTTGCGTCGTGAGAAATGTGAGATTGGTAAGCCACAAGTTAGTTACCTTGGGTTTACATTGTCGAAGGCTGGTCTACAGCCCAGTCGGGATAAGGTTTTGAGTATTCAGAATGCCCCGAGGCCCCATGATGTATCTACCTTGCGTTCGTTTCTGGGGCTCGTGAATTTCTTTGGGCGGTTTATCCCCAATTGCTCCTCGCTGTTACAACCCCTGAACGAGTTGTTAAAGAAGGATGTAGTCTTTAATTGGACGGATGCATGTCAGTCGGCGTTTGCCAAAGTTAAAGAGTTTCTCATCGCCGATCCAGTTATGGCCCATTATGATGTTACCTTACCACTGATCTTAGAGTGTGATGCATCCCCTGCTGGTATTGGTGCGGCTCTTCTACATGTCATGCCGGACCAGTCTGTTCGGCCAGTTGTATATGTGTCACATGCTTTGTCCAAAGCAGAGAGTCATTACAGCCAGATTGAGCGAGAGGCGTTAGCTATCGTGTTTGCTGTTCGTCGTTTACACCAGTACATCTACGGTCGTAAGTTCATTCTGCGCACCGACCATAAGCCTCTAATCAAGATCTTCGGCGAGCACGAGTCGTTAAGTAAGACGTCGGCATCCCGTCTACAGCGCTGGGCCGTGATTCTCGCTGAGTACGACTACGTCATTGAGCATATTCCAGGTAAAGAAAATGTGCTAGCAGATTGTCTGTCCCGTCTGCCTTTACCATTGTCTGCTGCTGAAATGTCTGCAATTGTTAGTGCAGTCAGCAGTCATGCATTTGACCCCTGCGAGTTAATGCCTCTACAGAGTTCGGATGTTGCCAAGGCTAGCAAATACGATTCTGACATTTCGTTAGTAATGTCCTACACGCTGCATGGTTGGCCTGCTACAGTTCCCGACAGGTTAGTGCCGTATAGTCGCATCCGGAATGACCTAAGTATTGAGCATGGTTGTTTGCTGTGGGGTTCCCGCGTCATTATTCCAGTTCAGTTTAGACGCCACTTATTAGAGGAACTGCATTCTTCACATGCCAGTGTGTCTCGAATGAAGAGTGTGGCACGAAGCATTTTCTGGTGGCCAGGCTTAGATGCCGATATCGAACGATTAGCCGCCGATTGCAGTCTTTGTCAGGAAAGCTCTAATCTGCCCCGCAAGGACTCTGTCCACCATTGGGCATACCCCAATGCTGCTTTTGAGCGTGTGCATCTTGATTTTGCTGAGTTCGAGTCGCAACAGTTTCTGGTCATAGTTGATGCATTCTCTAAGTGGATTGATGTATACGAGCTTGGTTCCTCCGCTACCACTACTAAAACAGTGAACTGTTTGCTACGGTTCATCAGTACATTTGGTATTCCTAGAGTACTAGTATCTGATAACGGCCCACAATTTGCCTCTGGCGAGTTTGCTGCTTTCTGTGCTCAGAATGGTATTAAGCATCATCGTACACCGCCCTATCATCCCGCCAGCAACGGACAGTGTGAGCGGATGGTGCAAGAGCTGAAGAAGGCTTTGCGAGCAAGGCCTCACCATGTGTCTGTATGTGTGCAAGTGTCTCGCTTTCTTTTCGATTACAGAAACACGCCGCACAGCGCTACTAAGCAGAGTCCCGCGAGTATTCTATTGAAGAAAGCCCCGACCACGCGTTTGGCGCTGCTGCAACCAAGTTTCGCCACGGCTATGCAGCAGGCACATGAACTCGATAGTACTGCGTCTCGTGAGTTCACAGTGAATGCACCAGTGTGGGTGTACAATGCTCGTCCTGGCTCTAAGCCGAAGTGGCTAGAAGGTTTAATATGCAAACGACTCAGTACGATGACCTATTCTGTGATGGTAGGAGGAGTCGTCCGAAAAGTGCACATCGATCACTTGAAGTCAAGAACAGCGGAGTCTGCTAGTTTATCGGCCGAGTCCGACGCCATTCCGACAGTGTCTACGCCGAGTGTTACTCCGACAGTCGCTACAGCAACGCCGACTCCTGAGTTACCAGCTTCACCGCCGGCTCAGCCGTCTCCTGTCATTGATACAGCAGCTACTACTATGCCTAGTACGCCTACTACTGCTACGTCTAGTACGCCTACTACTGCTACGCCTAGTATGTCTACTACTGCTGCTACTCCTGTTAGTATGCCTGATACAGTTCAAGTCGCTACTCCTGTTAGTATGCCTGATGTGTCAGTGCCTGTTTCGTCAACTCCAGTGTCACCGCGCTATCCGTCAAGAATGTGCCGTGCCCCTGATCGCTTAAATTTGTGAGTATTGAGTGACTATCTTAGCATTAGTCATGAGTGACTCGCCTAGCAATTCTGACATTGCCTTAGAGTGTCCTATTCCGCTATTTGTCTGTAATAGCATAGTATTGTATCATAGTTAGTCGGATATAAGGATTTGCTCTTGTATATAGTTGTTGGATGCATTTTGATTATATATGCATTATTGCTAGTCCCACTTCACTACTTCTTTAAGGAAGGAGGATTGTTATAGATTGATCTATTATTAATATTAGTCGTACGATCTATGATCTACGTTCTGCTACGTGTGTCGTTCTACGTGTGTTCTACGTGTGTCGTTCTACGCTCCTTTGATGCATGCATGACGAAGAGTAACAATGTCTTACCTCATTATGAATCAGTCTTCTTCTGCATTACGTCTGCATGGCTGACGTGTGTCTTACTTTGGTACGAGCTGACGAGGCCTATACTGTCGTGTCATAGCGCCATTAGTGCCACGACAGCACTTACGTGTCTCTGCTGCTTATCTCTCGATGATTGCCATTTTACATGTTCACTTCTAAATTATCCTAGAACAAACCAGATGGTGTTTCCTGCTGTGGTATACGTGAGTTGCATGGAATGAATCTTGCGTGCGTACGTTATAACAATGTACTGCCATGTGTACGGAGTACGGTGTACGGTGTTCGTTAGTGCACACGAGCTGGCCGCACAAACGAGCCGAGTTTCTGCCGAGCGAGCTAACGAGTATCCGGTGAGATCGTTTCAACACTACAAAATAACGTACTATACGGTAGAAAGTCCGTCTACTACACTCCCCTTTCCCCTTCTTGACCCGTGTGCCTCTCTAAACCTAGCACATTTTTTAGACAGTGGCTCAGAACGGGGAAAGGTAAGGCCCTTGCTAAATAGAAGTTCTCTTCGAAGTCAATGAGCTGTAGATGTGTAAATTTCCAGAATAGATTTTCTCGTTCCGATCATCAGTGGTAATCATACGGAACTAAAGGATCAACTATGAATTTACAAAAGTTGGCTTGTGAGCAACACTGGCTCACACTCAATCACTGCTTTTCACAAATTCATTTCAGAAAAAAATTCAACTCACAAGCCAACTTTTACTTATGAAGCTGCGTGGTGCGTCCTACAAGATTTTATATGAATTGATAGCTTTCATCAAATTACTATCTCCGTGCGAATTACTGTAATCGAAATCAACGAGGTGTTCTTACACATCTTCGACGGTGGAAGGCAGAGGATCCCGCAGCACCTTTACACCCGGTGCAATGATAAATCTGAGCATGGGGAGAGTAAGGAGAGAAGAGCAGGCAACAGAACATTGTTCGGAAACTAATCACAGGATGTATTGTTTTCCTGTGTGATGATGACCTTTCCCCAAGCTGTCTTCATCTAGTCGCGTGCATTTGTGATATGAGCATGCGCGATGTTGTAGTCAAGAGCTCTGTTGTCAGTCTTGTAAACTAATTCCCCTACTCCGGTTCCCCACACCGTCACGCACAGACCAGCCAACTGGAACACGCACTTAGGTGTAGAAGACGTTAGAATACATTAATTAGTAAAATTGGTAGAAGAACCAAGTGACCATCCTGTCACCTGGTCACGGCAAGCTCCAAACGAAAAACCCAACAGGCCAGAGCTACGGCCGCTGGAACAAGCAAAGCCAACGCGCCAAAAACACACGTACACTCGGGACAACCGAGGCGCACTCACACCACTAGCCATGTATTTGGCGGGTTCATACAAGTGATACAAAGCATGTCACCGCGCGTGTTTACGCCGGATGCTAACACCTACATGCGAAGAAGAATAAGAAGAAGAATACTGCTGCATGCAGACAACACGCTAGGGAGATAGGGAGAGGGACAGCCAGAAGGCATGCATTATATTTCAGTCTTTTTGTTGTCCCTGCCCTTTTGGCACGTGTGTGCCCCTTTTGGCACGTTGGTGCGGACCGCGCGCGGACTGCGCCGGTTGGAGATTATCGTACATGTTCTTGTTGTTGTGCGCATGCTTGCATGCTTATCGTGCGCATTCTGGTTGTTTTGGGTGCCTTCTTCCTGAGACTCTCCTTGGAACGACAATGATAAGGCCATCATTTTTTATATCTATGTTTCGCGTCAGTTCAACTTCCAGAATCATATGCGAGAGGTGGAAAAAAATAAAAAGTTGCAAAATAATAAAAAAAGGCTCATCAGAGGTGTATGCACTGTACATAGCACAATAGCTCGTGCATGGTGTACATTCGAAAGAAAAATCGTACATCGAAGCACAACATCTGGGTTATCAGCAAGAGTAAATATTCACTTTGGACAGAGGAGGCAACCGTTGGTGCCTATGCTTCGCTGGATTATTGTACTCAGACTTCGGCAGCGGTGCAGCAAAGACCTCCGGAACGACGCATCCTCTCAACTTCAGGCGATCAATGCTGTCTGGTGTTAGCTCATAGAATATTGCTCCCAGATGCCGAACAAACGATTTGCCAACGCTGGCCTAGAGGCCATTTCTGAATCTCAGCTTCGCCGTATGCAACCAGTCCACACTGATGACTCGTACAATCGTACACTCACCGTGCATGTAAGATTTTTTATTTTTTTCTGAAAAAATCAAAACGTATGCGTGCGGACGACGCGAAACATAGCTATAAAAAATGATGGCCTAATCTGTCCTCTGAGTGTGGCGTACGTGTATGAATAAGAGAGTAATCGGAAGGGCTATCGTGCGAGGGAATAAAGCCCCCCCCCCCCCCCCCCCGACGACAATTGGCGCCCAACGTGGGGCTCGAACCCACGACCCTGAGATTAAGAGTCTCATGCTCTTAATCTCAGGGTCGTGGGTTCGAGCCCCACGTTGGGCGCCAATTGTCGTCGGGGGGGGGGGGGGGCTTTATTCCCTCGCACGATAGCCCTTCCGATTACTCTCTTATTCATACACGTACGCCACACTCAGAGGACAGATTATCATTGTCGTTCCAAGGAGAGTCTCAGGAAGAAGGCACCCAAAACAACCAGAATGCGCACGATAAGCATGCAAGCATGCGCACAACAACAAGAACATGTACGATAATCTCCAACCGGCGCAGTCCGCGCGCGGTCCGCACCAACGTGCCAAAAGGGGCACACACGTGCCAAAAGGGCAGGGACAACATTTTTGTAATAGCATCAAGCGTCTGAGTGCACACGCCTCGTCGCTCACACAAAAATCACAGACAAGCATGTGCATATGGATGTTGCATGGTCGCGGTCACGTACACCGGTACCAACCCGTATACACTAAAATACAGCCTCTAACAAACGGGAGGAATATCTGGGTGTCACAAACAAAAAAATTCTTTTCTCATGCTCACAACTTTGTAACCAATGGCAATGTCAGATATTATCATGTACCAACGGCAACAGTGCAAACACGAACTATGAAACTGAAGAAAAATGAGCCAGGAACGCCTTTCGACAAAATTGGTCCACTGCAGGTACTTGCTAACTATCAGTAACTGGTAGTTATTTGGCAGTTAACACAATACCGTGTTTTCTCTAATAAAAGCCCATATCTCCAATAATAGCCCAGTCTCCAATAATGACCCGGGGTGAGGGTGGTTTGAAATAATAAGAGTACAGTCTCTAATAGACCGGTCACAATTGGAGTATGCAACAAGTATATATTGACTGCATATACAACAGCAGTACAACATGCCAAGAACATTATTTGTAAGGAGGTTTTCGGTCTACTGCTTCCTTCCTGGCGCCAATGCTATTGTGAAACATCTGTTTTGACAATATTCCTGAGTTTAGGGTTGAAAAATCAGTCTTGATATGGTCAGTTTATGCCTGTATAGACTGGAGTTGGCTTGATAGTTGACAATTGAAAAAATAAGAGCCCAGTCTCCAATAATAGCCCAGTCTCTAATAGTAGCGCGGATAAGGCTGTCAATGAAAAAATAAGAACCCCGGGCTCTTATTAGAGAAAATACGGTACTTTTATACTCGGATGTTGAGCCATAAATAATGTAGAAGAGAAAAGGACATATGGATACGAGTTAAGAGTAACTCTCGATCACTGTAACATGATACTGTTGTCCCTGCCCTTTTTGGCACGTGTGTGCCCCTTTTGGCACGTGCAGGTTGCGCATGCGTGCATGCTTATCGTGCGCATCCTGATTGTTTTGTGTGCCTTCTTCCTGAGACTCTCCTTGGAGTAAGACGAAAATAATCTGTCCTCTGAGTGTGGCGTGCGTGTGAAGTAGAAGAGAGTAGTCGGAAGGGCTATCGTGCGAGGGAACAAAACCCCCCGACGACAATTGGCGCCCAGCTAGTGGCATCGTTTCCCACGACCCTGAGATCGTTTTCGTTTTCGCCGTGGCTTCAAATCTTGTCTTCTCCACGCGTCCTCGCCATGGCTCCGCTTTGCTCCATCTGCTCAACCCTGTCCTCGGAGCTCCTACTCAGGTGAGCATGCTTTGTCTGCCCTGCGTAATGTTTGGTACCTTGTACGTAGTTCTCCTGGTACTAGTCTTCGATTTGGGATTTTCAAAATAATTGTTTCGCTTCGTGGCATTGAAGTCCCGGGTTGTTCTCTTGTGTACGAGTACCTCGTTCGAGCCTCGCTCCTGTTAGTACATGATTGTGGCCCACGTTGTGTGTGCGGTGTTTTGAACCAGTGTACATTGTCGCCCTCCGGCCTCTGGCTGTTCGAGTGGTCGTGTGCACTGTGTTTCACACCTTCTGACTTGAAAGTTTGTTGTCCGTGCTGTCGTGCATGCTCATCGTGTTGCTTGGTACGTCATCATGGTAGTCAGCATGGGTAGCTTTGCTCGTGTTTGGTTACTCGCCCTGTGTTGTGCACTGGTGCACGTCGTTTCGGTGTCGTCGGACTGCTCCGATCCTGTGTCGTCCGATTTGTTTCAGTTTGGTAGATGTCCCCATCGATTTACTCGATGTGGTGGCACTCCGTCGTTTCCAGTTTCAAGTACAAGTGCTTTCTTTTTCGTTTTACTAGTATTCATGTTTTGTGTCGAGCGTTTTAGTGCTCCGCCTGGTTGTCCCGCTCATGTGGAATGGCTGACGCCCAGTGGTGTAACATGCTTCTGAGATTCTCGTTGACGGTCCGGGTGGCAATATTTCTGTGAGTGTGTTGTTTGGTATTTGTGTTTTGGCACGTGGGTCTCTTCATTTCACCTAGGGGGCGTCCGATCATGGTGAGCCACGGTCTGCCTGGTGGGCTGGTGGGATCCAGCGCTTATTTGTATCGGTTAGCCTTGCGGGTGTTCGGTTTCCGTGTTTTGCTGGCTGGCCTTTGTGCGTCCCAGTAGGGTTCAGGACGGTGTTTTTTTTGTGTTTTTTTTGTGTTTCGTGAGCGGTTGTGTTTCACGCGTGATATTCAGGTTCAATCCCTGTGGGTTTTTTCAGGTTAGAGACCTGTGGTTTTTTCAGGTTAGAGGCCTGTGGTTATTCAGGGTAGCGCCCTGTGGTTTTTCTATGTTAATTTTTGTTTGCGTATTGGTGACCGATTTGTTTGTGTGCTATCTGGTGTCCTCATGGATAGACTGCCCCTGTATCCGTAGGCGTGTTCAACGTTGCTGTTCTGCCATTCCTTCTTGTGGTTTTTCTTGTCTGAATTTTGGCTCCTAGTATTGCTGAGATGTTTGCGTCAGTCCTTGTTTCTTTCTTTCTGTGTGTGTATCTGTGAGTTTTCGTAGCCCCATCGGCTGCGTGATGGTTTTCCGGACAACTCCTGGGCTGTCAGATGACTGGTCACCCGGTTCAGCTGCCGCGGTCTTCGCCGTACCGTCGGTTTGCCTTGGCTTCGCACCAGGGCGAGGTGGTTGTTTTCCGGGGGCCCACGCCTGAAAACTGCTCAGTCGGTAGAGCATGAGACTCTTAATCTCAGGGTCGTGGGTTCGAGCCCCACGTTGGGCGCCAATTGTCGTCGGGGGGTTTTAATCCCTCGCACGATAGCCCTTCCGACTACTCTCTTCTACTTCACACGCACGCCACACTCAGAGGACAGATTATTTTCGTCTTACTCCAAGGAGAGTCTCAGGAAGAAGGCACACAAAACAATCAGGATGCGCACGATAAGCATGCACGCATGCGCAACCTGCACGTGCCAAAAGGGGCACACACGTGCCAAAAAGGGCAGGGACAACAATACTATATACAGTCAGAAAGTGCAATAACTAGGCACAAAACTGACAGAGTACTGAAACATTCGACGTCCTGACACCTAGCTTCAACACATCTCCGTAGCGCTAACCGACAACCTTCCAACTTGGAAGGTTCAAGGTTATGGAAAGACCAAAGAGGGGAAGGCAAGCGCAACGAAAACGAGCAAAAGCTACAGTCCCAACGGAACAAAGAATGTCGATTGCCTTCCCCTCTTTGGTCTTTCCATAACCTTGAACCTTCCAAGTTGGAAGGTTGTCGGTTAGGGCTACGGAGATGTGTTGAAGCTAGGTGTCAGGACGTCGAATGTTTTAGTACTCTGTCAGTTTTGTGCCTAGTTATTGCACTTTCTGACTGTATATAGTATCATGTTACAGTGATGGAGAGTTACTCTTAACTCGTATCCATATGTCCTTTTCTCTTCTATTTTTATACTCGTAATCAATAACTTACAGCCTTGTAACTGTCGGTGGAATTGTTGGGATGACTTTTAACTGCATAAGTCTCAGCTTTCTGCAAACAAACCGGGAAGGAGAAAAAGACAAGACTGTTTAGATCACTTACCAGTACAGGTGGAATCCTGATAATTCGAACCTCAATATGCCAGGAAAACACTTCTAATTATCCGGACATTCTAATTATCCAAACATGAACCGACAACACAATAATTATGTAGGTCAAAATGCTTTCATGGTCACGCAGAGTTGCACTATGGACCTTAGGCACATATTTCACGGAAACTGAACTGACCGGCGCAGCCTGCTCATGCAAACTGAACTGACCAGAACAATGTACAGTGAACTTCGAATTACACTTTGCTAACTTCGAATTATCAGCACAAATCCCACACATTTTCTATGTAAGTGGAATCTGTGGGATTTCTAATTAACCAGACATACCTGTCACGTCCTGGACGCGACGCTCGCGGTTTGACAGGTCCTGTGGCAGCAGGATCTATGCAGTGCGCAGCTCTGTGTTTGAGCTGTCACGATCTATACTATCACGTGGTTTGGCCAGTGTCTTGTCCCACGTGTCGAGCATGTAGGTTGAGCGGCACGCGCTGTTCCACGTAGGTGTCATGCTTCTTAGGCGTGATATCCCATGTCGGTGTCATGTCTCTTGGGCATGACACACGATGATTCATCACCGGAACCTGGTCAGGTAGGTTCTCGCGTGGAATGTTCCCGGAAGCCTGGAAATGTACCTCAAGGCTTCATGCAAAATCATGTGACTGAGAAGTTCTATTGATTTCCATGATCCCTTTCGCGCTTCGTGCAAGATACGAAGCAAAAGAACGATGTCTTCCCAATAATTCACATAACTCTCTCCCGGACTTGATTGGTTAACTGAGTTTCTCAGACTCCCTACCTGTCTTCGTTGTCAAGTGTGAATCAAGGTGAGCTGAACACAAAGTTGGGTCGTCGACTATATTGGTCGACCACCTGGCGGTTGGATTTGGTGGGGTTGTGAGCGATCATGACGGGCAACGAACCTCGCAGGGTTGCGACATTTGGTGCTGTGACCAGGATCCCAACTTCTGTGTTCTCTGCTTCACCTGGTTGTTACAGATGCCACCCAAACGCAACAACCCACCAGCTGATAATCTGCGCGAGCTGCACGAAGCTCTGGGACAATCGGCTGCAGCCCTGGAGGCCATGCGACAATTTAATTCCGCACGAGTGATACGTCAGGCGAAATAGCACGTCATAGTACATTTGAGATCAGCGGGAAGAAGATGACGACGTCCACTAATTTAGTATCTGTGCACACGAATCTGCTGTGTGTGTGACTCTGTGTGTCAGCTATGATATCATCTTCTGTGGTTCCATGCCTAGCAGGTACGTCTGAACCATCCTGCAAAGTTTGAATGACGTAGGTTGAGCGATCGCTCCGCGAAACATACTTTATGAAATTCTCTTCATAGTATATCTTCCGAAGTAGTGGTTGCGACTTCGGCAATGATTTGTAAGAAAGGGTTTGCTCCCCACACTGGAGCTCGCGCTATTCCGCCGACTTTACTTGACACTTTGACTGACTCACGACTGCCATCCAGAGCACACGAGAAGTCCATCGAACCTTCGACTCGGCAAACCTGCAAGAAAGCACCACTCCCTGCTCAATACACAGTGTTTCGGGGAATTCACCCCTCATCAGTTGAGCTTGAGTAGTCGCAACCACTACTTCGTACTGTTGTGCCCAGCGCGGGCTTGCGACTAGTTGGTTTGGAGGTGACAGCGTTGCGAATGACCGAGGGTCCTCAGCGTCTGGTCTCACCGTCCAGGAGCGACACTGACTCCCGCTGCTATCTGGTGTTCACGAGGTGTTTGTCGCGCTGGAAATGGAGCGTCTCTGTAAGTTTGTATCCCTGGTGATGTTTGTGCCTGGAGAGCACTATATAAGTGGTGCTCTTCAGGCACAATCTTCCTCAGCCTACTCAAGCTCAACTGATATGGGGTGAATTCCCCGAAACACTGTGTATTGAGCAGGGAGTGGTGCTTTCTTGCAGGTTTGCCGAGTCGAAGGTTCAATGGACTTCTCGTGTGCTCTGGATGGCAGTCGTGAGTCAGTCAAGTGTCAAGTAAAGTCGGCGGAATAGCGCGAGCTCCAGTGTGGGGAGCAAACCCTTTCTTAGTATATCTTACACCATTGAAATTTCGAATTTCTTCAAAAAAAGTGCTGAGAGGGGTGGCTTGCAACCTCGATATGGCTTGTTCCAGGCATGCTTTGGAGCCATCTTCTGTTGAAGTAGTGGCGGGGATCTGCCCTGCAACTGCTACAACAAAAAATGATTCGATCTGAGAAAGGGTGAGACCGCGAATCTCGGTTGAATATTGAGTATTTCAAGCCTTTTCACGACGAAGATGGAGTTCTTTTTGGAGATGGACGTTGCGGCAAAGCACATGGTGTCCGACTTCTGGCGTCTGGTGAAGCCAGGGATCATTTGTCCAGTCAGGTCGGCAGCCTAACCGTCGGTAAGCTTGTGTTTGGATCCCATTCTGCTCGATGTGGTAGATCACAAACAATTTGATATCGCACAAATTGATCTCAGCATCGTGCGTACGGTATGTATATTCAGAAAATCCCAAAGTGTCTCTGTGTGGCCGTCCTATGCCACGAGAAACTCCAATCAGGCTCCTATGTCCTCTGCCTTCATGATTGGATGTCCACTTCGTTTGAACAACGAACACAACAATCGAGGACGGCTTTGCAATGAAAAATATAGCTATACTGGAGCTGAAAAAAGAAAGAAAAAAACGTGCTCAGGATGAGACTCGAGTACACGTATACTCTCCCAGCAGGTGAAACGCAATTTTTTGTGAAAAATGCGTGTCGCCGACTGACCAGTAATTTCGCCTGACGCTGTAGGAGAACGGCGCGCACTGCCACACTGCGCACAAACTGAAAACCCTGAACACACGCCCAACCACGGCCTGTACCAGTCACAACGCAACACTTCCGTTCTTCTGCTAGAATGCAACTGTTTAGTTAGTACAATGTAGGTAGGTTATAAAGGTACTACATACATAGCCACGTACAGATCTACTGAGAGCGCGAGCAGCGAGCCAAGCTCGGAGGCTTGGGCACGGCATAGTTCATAGTTCATAGTTCATAGTTCATAGTTCATAGTTCATAGTTCATAGTTCATAGTTCATAGTTCATAGTTCATAGTTCATGCAAGAGCATAGTTCATTATTCATAGTTCATTATCATGCAAGAGCATAGTTCATGATTGGTTCTAAAACAGACAGCAAGCATATAATGAATCTGCGTGCCAAGACAAACATGCGAGACTTGCACGTTCCGGAGCCAATCATATGTAGAGAGTGCCAGCCGCAAAGCTATAACATCAGCATGCTGACCAACCAGGACTTGTCACCACAAGTCGTACTACTACTAGTAATGCACAACACAATCATAGGGAGCACGTCCAGCCCGGCCCAGTGTTCATAATAATATAGTCATCTCTAACCGACTACAGATTACGTGCAGCACAGTCATGTATATGCCAATCTATCGTCCGAGGCTGACTGATGACACCTACTGCTAGCACACATGCACAAGTCAACACTGATACTACTACACCTCTCCCCTAAGTGTCATCTAGCGGTACCTGGCAGGTCGAACAATAGAGGCACGGTCACGGAGCCCTGACATGGCTGGTGGACTCACTGCAGGCCCTCTGTCGGCCACTGGCTGCTCATCACCGTTGCTGTAGAGAACACTGATGTAATCATCTTCGTCGTCGTCTGCGTGAATGGTGTTCTGTGGCTGTGCTGTCTGCCCATTACTGGCTTCAGCCGGTACCGGTGTGGGGTCACGCTTCAGTAGGTTGATGTTCACCACCTTCGTACCACCACTCTTGCCGACAATGATCACCGTCGATGGGGACACTATGCGCAGGACACGCCACCCAGGCTCAAACTGTGACAGCCGCTTCTGGTGTCGACCCGGACGACGCAAGAGCACTACGTCACCCTCCACATATGGACATTCAGCGTCACCATCAACAAAGTCGAGTGCCGAGAGTTCTTCCTCCAGGCAGTCTCGAGTGATAGCAGCTTGTCTTTTCTGTCGGTCCACCCACTCACTCTCAGACAGCGGAGTCTCGTTGCTACTCTCCACCAGTAGGTTCCTTGGCTCCCAGCCAGTCATTGCAGCCATCGGCGAAATCTTGGTCACGGAGTGTGGACGGATGCGGTAGTGGAACAGTAGGTAATCTAGCGCTGACTCCCAATCATCTGTCTCCCCCAGGGTCTTCCGGATGACACTGAGGAGAGTGCGGTTTACTCTCTCGACCGCTCCCTGAGACTGCGGATGCCTCACTGCACCATGCTTAACGGACACGCCAAATGCTTCCAACAGCGCTGTGATGATGGCGTTGAAGAATTCCGACCCGTTATCACAGCGAATGACTTCTGGTGGGCCCACCGGGTGCACACAGACACAAGTGCCCGTGCTACACTGGCCGCATCGTGACGTCATAGCGGCACCACCTCCACCCACTTGGTTAGCACATCTACAATCACCAGCACACAATGGTAGCGACTACTTTGTGCTGGCCCGAGCTCAAGCGTGTCAATCTGTACTGTGTTCCACGGACCAGACGGCACTCCTGGTCGTGTCGGGGGAACGCGCTCGCCACGTCTTGGATTGGCCGCCGCACAGGAAGAACATTTAAGGACAAACTCCTGACACTTTGCCGCCATGCCGGGGATATAAACTCTGGCTCGCAGAAATCTCCACGTTCCCTCCCAGCCTGAGTGACCCGTCTGCCGATGAGCCATCTTGATGCTGGCAATTTCCAGAACAGGAGGGATCACTGGTACATTAGATACCTGACCCATCGGTAGCTTCACACTGCACATCAACACGCCGTCGACCACAGCTAGCTGGTCCTTGACCTTCACATACTCTGGTGCATCAACTCTCTCACCTGCGACTTGCTGCTTGATCATTGTGCTAATGATGCTGTCCCGTTGCTGAGCAGCAGCGATGTCGTCCATCTTCAGAAT